CCCTACAACTCATCCAGAATGCCGCAGCCCGTCTGGTGTTCAACCTTCCCAACCTTCTCAACCTTCCCAGCTGGTAGAGCATGGCGCTTGTAACGCCAAGGTAGTGGGTTCGATCCCCGGGACCACCCATACACAAAAATGTATGCACGCATGACTGTAAGTCGCTTTGGATAAAAGCGTCTGCTAAATGGCATATTATTATTATTATTATTATTATTCTCTCACGTCACCCCGCTCCTCCGCACACCCCACTGGCTTCCAGTTGAAGCTCGCATCTGCTACAAGACCATGGTGCTTGCCTACGGAGCTGTGAGGGGAACGGCACCTCCGCACCTTCAGGCTCTGATCAGTCCCTACACCCAAACGAGGGCATTGCATTCATCCACCTCTGGCCTGCTGGCTCCCCTACCTCTGCGGAAGCACAGTTCCCGCTCAGCCCAGTCAAAACTGTTCGCTGCTCTGGCACCCCAATGGTGGAACAAGCTCCCTCACGACGCCAGGACAGCGGAGTCACTCACCACCTTCCGGAGACATTTGAAACCCCACCTCTTTAAGGAATACCTGGGATAGGATAAAGTAAAGCCTTCACTGTCAGCCCACTAACACCTCTCTCAGACCACAGTAAAATCACAGTGTATCTGAGAAGAGCAGAACCCAACCATGAAGCATCACGGCCCAATTAATTACATGGTACTAAACAGACCTATAGATGGAGTGCAAACAGTACAGAAATCTACCAAAAAGCAATTAGTAGCCAAAAAATACAATCTCTCCTGGACAACTTTTTAGCCTTAACATTCTCCTACAGCAATGAAGGTGTAAATTTGGCCGTTTGGAACATAAACTTTACATTTGACAAATTAGCCTCCTTGGCTAATCTTAAAGAAACATAAGAGCAAACCAAAAATAATAGATAATGAAAAATGGTTTGATAATGATTGCAAAAATCTAAGAAAGTCATTGAGAAATATATCTAATCAAAAACACAGAGACCCAGACAACAAAAATATACGCCTTCAATATGGGGAAACACTGAAGCAATACAAACACACCCTAAGAACAAAAAAGGAACAGCACATTAGAAATCAGATGGATGTGATTGAGGAATCCATAGAATCAAACCACTTCTGGGAGAATTGGAATAAATTAAACAAACCTCATCATGAGGAATTGGCTATCCAAAATGGGGATATGTGGAGAAATCACTTTGCAAACCTCTACAGCAATATAACAAAAAGCCCAGAACAACAAGATATACAAGAACAATTACAAATCCTTGAATCAGCAGTCAAAGACTATCAGAATCCTGTGGATACCCCAATTACAGAACATGAATTATTGGAAAAACTTTGCACTCTCCAACCCAAAAAGGCCTGTGGTGCTGATTGTATTTTAAATGAAATGATCAAATATACAGACCACAAATTCAAATAGGCTATACTCAAACTCTTCAACATTATCTTAACTGCAGGTATTTTCCCCGATATTTGGAACCAAGGATTGATCACACCAATTTTAAAAAATGGAGACAAATTTGACCCAAATAATTACAGAGGGATTTGTGTTAACAGCAACTTGGGAAAAAAATTCTCTGCAGTATCATAAACAGCAGACTACATAATTTCCTTGATGAACACAACATCCTAAGCAGAAGCCAGATTGGATTTGTAAAAAAGTATCATACAACAGACCACATTTACACCCTCCAGACTCTAATTGACAAACAAGTAAACCAAAACAAAGGCAAAATCTACTCGTGTTTTGTAGACTTCAAGAAAGCATTTGATTCAATTTGGCACAAAGGTATTTTTTACAATAGAAAGTGGTATTGGAGGGAAAACATATGATGTTATTAAATCAATGTACACTAAAAACAATAAGTCCAACACTATTTAACATCTACATTAATGAATTGGCAAAAACATTAGAAGAATGGGCAGCACCTGGTCTCACCCTACACAACACTGAAATCAAGTGTCTGCTGTACGCAGATGACCTGGTGCTACTGTCTCCCACTAAGGAGGGGTTACAGCAGCATCTAGATCATCTGCACAGATTCTGTCAGACCTGGGCCCTGACCGTTAATCTAAAAAAAAAACGAATATAATGATATTCCAAAAAAGGTCCGGAAATCAGGATGACAAATATTAATTCTATTTGGACACAGTTCTATTAGAACACACCAAAAATTACACATATCTAGGACTAAATATCAGCAACACAGGTAGCTTTCACATGGCTGTGAATGAGCTGAGAGACAAAGCAAGAAGAGCATTCCATGCCATTAAAAGGAATATTAAAATCGAAATTCCAATTAGAATCTGGCTCAAAAATGTCCAATTAGTTATTGAACCAATTGCTCTTTATGGCAGCAAAGTATGGTGTCCGTTCTCTAATACTGAATTTACCAAATGGGACAAACATCCAATCGAAATACTGCATGCAGAGTTTTGCAAGACTTTATTGTAAGTGCAAAGAAAAACTCAAAATAACGCATGTAGAGCAGAATTGGGCCAATACCCCCTCCTTATTCAAATAGAAAAAAGAGCCATCAAATTTTACAACCATCTAAAAACAAGTGACCCCAAAACATTCCATCACACAGCTCTACTATATCAAGAGATGAAACAAGAGAAGAGTCCCCTCAGCCAGCTGGTTCTGAGGCTCAGTTCACTAACCAAAACCAACCTCATATAGCCTCAGGACAGCACTCAGAAAATATGGCCCAACCAAATCATCACAAAGAAAAAAGAGAAATATATTACCTATTGGAAAGACACCACAAAAAATCAAAGTAAACTTCAATGCTATTTGGCTCTAAACAGACAGTACATGGTGGCAGACTGATTGTCCTGTTGAAAAATAAATGATAGTCCCACTAAGACCAAACCAGATGGGATGGTGTATCGCTGCAGAATGCTGTGGTAGCCATGCTGGTTAAGTGTGCCTTGAATTGTAAATAAATCACAGACAGTGTCACCAGCAAAGCATCCCCACACCATAACACCTCCTCCTCAATGCTTTACGGTGGGAAATACACATGTGGAGATCATCCGTTCACCTACTCTGCGTCTCACAAAGACACGGCGGTTGGAACCAAAAATCTCAAATTTGGACTCCAGAACAAAGGACACATTTCCACCGGTCTAATGTCCATTGCTCGTGTTTCTTGGCCAAAGCAAGTCTCTTCTTCTTATTGGTGTCCCTTAGTAGTGGTTTATTTGCAGCAATTCGACCATGAAGGCCTGATTCACACAGTCTCCTCTGAACAGTTGATGTTGAGATGTGTCTGTTACTTCAACTCTGTGAAGCATCTATTTGCGCTGCAATTTCTGAGGCTGGTAACTCTAATGAACTTCTCTGCAGCAGAGGTAACTCTGGGTCTTCCTTTCCTGTGGCGGTCCTCATGAGAGCCAGTTTCATCATAGCGCTTGATGGTTTTTGCAACTGCACTTGAAGAAACTTTAAAAGTTCTTGAAATGTTCCGTATTGACTGCCCTTCATGTCTTAAAGTAATGATGGACTGTCATTTCTCTTTGCTTATTTGAACTGTTTTTGCCATAATACAGACTTGGTCTTTTACCAAATAGGCCTATCTTCTGTATACGCCCCCTACCTTGTCACAACACAACTGATTTGCTCAAACGCATTAAGAAGGAAAGAAATTCCACAAATCAACTTTTAAGAAGGCACACCTATTAATTGAAATGCATTCCAGGTGATTACCTCATGAAGCTGGTTGAGAGAATGCCAAGAGTGTGCAAAACTGTCATCAAGGCAAAGGGTGGCTATTTGAAGAATCTCAAATATATTTATTTAACACTTTTTTGGTTACTACATGATTCCATATGTGTTATTTCATAGTTTTGATGTCTTCACTATTATTCTACAATGTAGAAAATAGTAAAAAAATTAAGAAAAACCCTTGAATGAGTAAGTGTGTCCAAACTTTAGACTGGTAGTGGACATGATCTTCAATTTGTATAATTGAGAAGAGAAAGGGAAGCTTCCTGTAGCAGTGTTCTGTCTGAGTAAGAAACATACTGTACATCCTCCACTAAAGAAGTTTCTAATAAACCTTTCTCAAGGATATTGATGTATTTGATTGAAAGAGAAGGTAGATATGGTCTTACCTGGTTATTCATAACTGTGCTTCTAATGAATAAAAGAAGGGCCTTACGAATAGCATTAACAACTTTCCTGTATTACTAAATCAAATTCAACACAGAAATCATTATGAGAGAACATCCCCCATCGTTCATGATATCTAACATCAAACCATATATTCCTCTCCACCCAGTCACCCAGAAACAGTTATTTATTTCTGGATAAGTTACAGCAGTTATTGCATATAGGAGAATTATGGGCTTAAAGTTGTAAAGCATCTTCTTTGTGAAAGGCCGATAACTTCACAGGGAGCTTAGAGATATTGACATCACATGAAAGTAGAAAACATAATCTTCCCACTTTGCTAAACACTTCTCTAGGGATATGAAACCAGAAGGTGTTATCGTTACTCATTGTGTATTTATTATAACTTTTCTGTTATTTCTCTATTTTCTTTCTCTCTGTATTGTTGGGAAGGGCCCGTAAGTAAGCATGTCACTACACCTGTCTACACCTGTTGTTTACGAATAAAATGTGAATTTTTGTTTTTTATTATGATATATTTTTTTTTAGTCATTTAGCAAAAGCTCTTATCCAGAGCGACTTACAGGAGCAATTAGGGTTAAGTGCCTCGCTCAAGGGCACATCGGCAGATTTTTCACCTAGTCAGCTCGGAGATTAGAACCAGCAACCTTTCGGTTACAGGCACAACGCTCTTAACCACTAAGCTACCTGCCTTTCGTTACTCAAAAAGGATTTGAGCCAGTTAACTTTTATAGTACCATTCAAGCAGTCAAAATCAATAGCTCTTAAACCATCTTCTTTAAAGTCTGAAACCATTGTAACCTTTTTCATTTAATGGGTTTGGGTTTTTCCCACACAAAAGTTGAAGTTTAGTTGGTTGATGGATTGAACTATATTGGGGGAGACGGCCAAAAATGGGGCAGGGGAAATGTATCTAGATAAACTGACTCTGCCCAAAATGGAAAGATCTCTTTGAAGTCAGATGTTCAGCCTGGATATACACTCCGGATTCGAATAAACACGTTCATTTTGTCACTTGTAATCAGAATTTAAATATTGATAACTGATCATGTATTTGACCGAGACGCGCCCTGATAGACAGACACGTCAATCTCAGAGAAAGTATCAGAGTGAGCGAAACAGTGAAACAGCGAAACAGCGAAACAGCGAAACAGCGAAACAGCGAAACAGTGAAACAGCGAAACAGCGAAACAGTGAAACAGCGAAACAGCGAAACAGCGAAACAGCGAAACAGCGAAACAGCGAAACAGCGAAAGAGCGAAACAGCGAAACAGTGAAACAGCGAAACAGTGAAACAGTGAAACAGCGAAACAGCGAAACACCAAACAGCGAAACAGTGAAACAGCGAAACACCAAACAGTGAAAATGTGAAACAGTGAAACAGCGAAACACCAAACAGTGAAAATGTGAAACAGTGAAACAGCGCCCCCTCTGTCTTACTTTACAGTGGGGGAAAAAAGTATTTATTCAGCCACCAATTGTGCAAGTTCTCCCACTTAAAAAGATGAGGGAGGCCTGTAATTTTCATCATAGGTACACGTCAACTATGACAGACAAATTGAGAAGAAAAAAAATCCAGAAAATCACATTGTAGGATTTTTAATGAATTTATTTGCATTTATCTTACTTCCCAGGTGTCTGATGTCTGACCTGTCATACTCCTATTGACCAGACAGCATCAGATCAGACTCATGTTTGTTTCCGTCGCTCTGATGCTTTATCTGAGATTGATGCGTCTTTCTGTCAGCGCGCGTCTCGGTCAAATAAATGATCAATATTTAAATATTTAATTTGGACAGGCAAGGAGGTGTGGTAGGACCCTCTAAGGCCCGCCCATGTTTGATCTGACTGCCGACTCAGCCAAGGATCTATAGCAGGGTTTCCCATAATGTATGATCTGACTGCTGACTCAGCCAAGGATCTATAGCAGGGTTTCCCATAATGTATGATCTGACTGCTGACTCAGCCAAGGATCTATAGCAGGGTTTCCCATAATGTTTGATCTGACTGCCGACTCAGCCAAGGATCTATAGCAGGGTTTCCCATAATGTTTGATCTGACTGCCGACTCAGCCAAGGATCTATAGCAGGGTTTCCCATAATGTTTGATCTGACTGCTGACTCAGCCAAGGATCTATAGCAGGGTTTCCCATAATGTTTGATCTGACTGACAACTCGGTCCTGGGGACCCCAAGGGGGGATGGACATTTTAGGGTTTTGGGCTAGCATAACTACACAGCTGATTAAAATAATCAACTCATAACTAAGCTTAGATGTTTTGAAACAGCTGTGTAAAGAAGTAAAAAAAAAAAACTACATGTTTGAGTTTTGGAAACACTGACCTAAAGAATATTGTAAGATGTCAGTAGTGTGGTTCAGCGTTTAACATTTTAGTCATTTAGCAGACACTCTTATCCAGAGGGACTTACAGTTGGTGCATACATTATTTATTTATTTTTCATACTGGCCCCCCGTGGGAATCGAACCCACAACCCTGGCGTTGCAAACGCCATGCTCTACCAACTGAGCTACATCCCTGCCGGCCATTCCCTCCCCTACCCTGGACGACGCTGGGCCAATTGTGAGCCGCCCCATGGGTCTCCCGGTCGCGGCCGGCTACGACAGAGCCTAGTGGCACAGCTAGCACTGCGATGCAGTGCCTTAGTGACTTTAAGGGACGCTTTGCTCATTGAGAGGGTAGACACAGTCAGACAGGATGGATTCCCCACTGTCTGAACTTGGACTGGTATCATTGTCCTTTGTTGTCTCCAAATAAAATGTCATGTAAATAGGTACAGGGTGTCTTCATGTAAAACAGGATTATATAAAGTATTTGAATGAGCAAGAGCTTTAGTGTTCTTTTAATTGCAGTGTCTCCCAGTACAACACACTATTTACAATTAAATGTGCAATCAAAGTGCATTATCACATTTTTATAGTTAATGAGAGAACAAATGTGTTGAAAGCTCTCTAAAAAAACATTACGTCTAGAATACAAGTGTTTTGGTTTTCTATGTTTATCAAAGTGTTCTTTTGTTAACTCCAGTACAACAGCCCAGGAGCGTTGCTGCTTCACTGGGACTGGATTCTGTCTGGCTTCACTGGACATCAGACTGATGGAGAGCGTTAGGATGTTGATATCAGGACCTGCTGGTTTCAAAAACTATTCGAAATATTTCAAATAATTTTTGAGCGTTTGCTCTAGCCTCACTGGAGTGCCAGATGGGCGGGGTTGACAGTGTTGGGACTATTCTATTGGTCCATTAATCCAGGCAAGCTCAATCAAGCCCAGAAAAAAAAAAGTATTTGAAATGATTTCGAATAGTATTTGAACCCAGGTCTGATGTTGGTATTTCTGTCGTGTACCGGTCATCATCATCATATTCCAGTACTGTGTGTGTGTGTGTGTGTGTGTGTGTGTGTGTGTGTGTGTGCTCTGTAAGATCCAGGGTCAACAACACGCTGCCACAGTGATTCCGCCCCGCTACACGCCATAAAGCACACAATGGTGCTGCAAAAAGATGTGAGGAAGGAAATGACGGTTGTCGTTAGTTCTCAACGGAAGAGCGACCTCACCCCGAGACTTCCTTATAGATGACCTTCACAGAGGGACAGCGGGGTAGATGAGGGAGAAAGGGAAAGGGAGGAATTTTATTTGGACTTAAACTCTGTGAGAGGATCGTAGCCTCGCTTGGTGTGTGTCCACATAAAGCAGAGATATCTGGCCATAAATAAAACAGATAGCTACTACTTCAGCTCAGAGCCATATATTTATATCTATGGCTGTGCTTTAGCTCTTTGATTGATGTTTGATCCGTCCATTAGGCACTGGAACATCTGAGGAACGTTTCATGTCCTGAGTCTGACTCTAGGCACTGGAACATCTCCTGAGTCTGACTCTAGGCACTGGAACATCTGATGTCCTGAGTCTGACTCTAGGCACTGGAACATCTGATGTCCTGAGTCTGACTCTAGGCACTGGAACATCTCCTGAGTCTGACTCTAGGCACTGGAACATCTCCTGAGTCTGACTCTAGGCACTGGAACATCTCCTGAGTCTGACTCTAGGCACTGGAACATCTCCTGAGTCTGACTCTAGGCACTGGAACATCTCCTGAGTCTGACTCTAGGCACTGGAACATCTCCTGAGTCTGACTCTAGGCACTGGAACATCTCCTGAGTCTGACTCTAGGCACTGGAACATCTCCTGAGTCTGACTCTAGGCACTGGAACATCTCCTGAGTCTGACTCTAGGCACTGGAACATCTGATGTCCTGAGTCTGACTCTAGGCACTGGAACATCTGATGTCCTGAGTCTGACTCTAGGCACTGGAACAACTCCTGAGTCTGACTCTAGGCACTGGAACATCTCCTGAGTCTGACTCTAGGCACTGGAAAATCTCCTGAGTCTGACTCTAGGCACTGGAACACCTGATCTCCTGAGTCTGACTCAAGGCACTGGAACACCTGATCTCCTGAGTCTGACTCTAGGCACTGGAACATCTCCTGAGTCTGACTCTAGGCACTGGAACATCTCCTGAGTCTGACTCTAGGCACCGGAACATCTCCTGAGTCTGACTCTAGGCACTGGAACACCTCCTGAGTCTGACTCTAGGCACTGGAACACCTGATCTCCTGAGTCTGACTCTAGGCACTGGAACATCTCCTGAGTCTGACTCTAGGCACTGGAACATCTCCTGAGTGTGACTCTAGGCACTGGAACACCTCCTGAGTCTGACTCTAGGCACTGGAACACCTCCTGAGTCTGACTCTAGGCACTGGAACATCTCCTGAGTCTGACTCTAGGCACTGGAACATCTCCTGAGTCTGACTCTAGGAACTGGAACATCTCCTGAGTCTGACTCTAGGCACTGGAACATCTGATGTCCTGAGTCTGACTCTAGGCACTGGAACATCGCCTGAGTCTGACTCTAGGCACTGGAACATCTGATGTCCTGAGTCTGACTCTAGGCATTGGAACATCTCCTGAGTCTGACTCTAGGCACTGGAACATCTGATGTCCTGAGTCTGACTCTAGGCACTGGAACACCTCCTGAGTCTGACTCTAGGCACTGTAACATCTGATGTCCTGATTCTGACTCTAGGCACTGGAACACCTCCTGAGTCTGACTCTAGGCACTGTAACATCTGATGTCCTGAGTCTGACTCTAGGCACTGGAACATCTCCTGAGTCTGACTCTAGGCACTGGAACATCTGATGTCCTGAGTCTGACTCTAGGCACTGGAACATCTCCTGAGTCTGACTCTAGGCACTGGAACATCTGATGTCCTGAGTCTGACTCTAGGCACTGGAACATCTCCTGAGTCTGACTCTAGGCACTGGAACATCTGATGTCCTGAGTCTGACTCTAGGCACTGGAACACCTCCTGAGTCTGACTCTAGGCACTGGAACATCTGATGTCCTGAGTCTGACTCTAGGCACCGGATCACCTCCTGAGTCTGACTCTAGGCACTGGAACACCTCCTGAGTCTGACTCTAGGCACTGGAACATTTGATGTCCTGAGTCTGACTCTAGGCACTGTAACATCTCCTGAGTCTGACTCTAGGCACTGTAACATCTCCTGAGTCTGACTCTAGGCACTGGAACATCTCCTGAGTCTGACTCTAGGCACTGGAACATCTCCTGAGTCTGACTCTAGGCACTGGAACATTTGATGTCCTGAGTCTGACTCTAGGCACTGGAACATCTCCTGAGTCTGACTCTAGGCACTGGAACATCTGATGTCCTGAGTCTGACTCTAGGCACTGGAACATCTCCTGAGTCTGACTCTAGGCACTGGAACATCTCCTTAGTCTGACTCTAGGCACTGGAACATCTCCTGAGTCTGACTCTAGGCACTGGAACATCTGATGTCCTGAGTCTGACTCTAGGCACTGGAACATCTCCTGAGTCTGACTCTAGGCACTGGAACATCTGATGTCCTGAGTCTGACTCTAGGCACTGGAACATCTCCTGAGTCTGACTCTAGGCACTGGAACATCTGATGTCCTGAGTCTGACTCTAGGCACTGGAACATCTCCTGAGTCTGACTCTAGGCACTGGAACATCTGATGTCCTGAGTCTGACTCTAGGCACTGGAACATCTGATGTCCTGAGTCTGACTCTAGGCACTGGAACATCTGATGTCCTGAGTCTGACTCTAGGCACTGGAACATCTGATGTCCTGAGTCTGACTCTAGGCACTGGAACATCTGATGTCCTGATTCTGACTCTAGGCACTGTAACATCTGATGTCCTGAGTCTGACTCTAGGCACTGGAACATCTCCTGAGTCTGACTCTAGGCACTGGAACATCTCCTGAGTCTGACTCTAGGCACTGGAACATCTCCTGAGTCTGACTCTAGGCACTGGAACATCTCCTGAGTCTGACTCTAGGCACTGGAACACCTCCTGAGTCTGACTCTAGGCACTGGAACATCTGATGTTCTGAGTCTGACTCTAGGCACTGGAACATCTCCTGAGTCTGACTCTAGGCACTGGAACACCTCCTGAGTCTGACTCTAGGCACTGAGCAGTCTACTAGTGCACTCCTTCCCTATCGGTCCTGGTCAAAAGTAGTGCACTATGCAGGGAACTGGGTGCCATTTGGGATGCAGGCTCAGTCTCCTTGACCCTCATACACAAGCAGACTTGTAATATTTGTGATGAGTGGCGTGTATTCATGGAGGCCAAGAACCGCGGAGAGTGGCAAAAGAAAACAGGAGCTGCCTCCATTATTCCAGCACCATTTCAACAATCATCGAATCACCTCTGCTTGGTCAAATACTCTCCTATTCTCCCTATACACCAAGTCACTTGGCTCTGTCATATCCTCACATGGCCTCTCCTATCATTGCTACGCTGACGATACACAACTAATCTTCTCCTTTCCCCCTTCTGATAACCAGGTGGCGAATCGCATCTCTGCATGTCTGGCAGACATATCAGTGTGGATGACGGATCACCACCTCAAGCTGAACCCTGGCAAGACGGAGCTGCTCTTCCTCCCGGGGAAGGACTGCCCGTTCCATGATCTCGCCATCACGGTTGACAACTCCGTTGTGTCCTCCTCCCAGAGTGCGAAGAGCCTTGGCGTGACCTTGGACAACACCCTGTCGTTCTCCGCTAACATCAAGGCGGTGACCCGATCCTGCAGGTTCATGCTCTACAACATTCGGAGAGTACGACCCTGCCTTACACAGGAAGCGGCACAGGTCCTAATCCAGGCACTTGTCATCTCCCGTCTGGATTACTGCAACTCGCTGTTGACTGGCCTCCCTGCCTGTGCCATTAAACCCCTACAACTCATCCAGAATGCCGCAGCCCGTCTGGTGTTCAACCTTCCCAAGTTCTCTCACGTCACCCCCCTCCTCCGCACACTCCACTGGCTTCCAGTTGAAGCTCGCATCCGTTACAAGACCATGGTGCTTGCCTATGGAGCAGTGAGGGGAACGGCACCTCCGTACCTTCGGGCTCTGATCAGTCCCTACACCCAAACGAGGGCATTGCGTTCATCCACCTCTGGACTGCTGGCTCCCCTTCCTCTGCGGAAGCATAGTTCCCGCTCAGCCCAGTCAAAACTGTTCGCTGCTCTGGCACCCCAATGGTGGAACAAGCTCCCTCACGACGCCAGGACAGCGGAGTCACTCACCACCTTCCGGAGACATTTGAAACCCCACCTCTTTAAAGAATACCTGGGATAGGATAAAGTAATCCTTCTACCCCCCCGCCCCCCCCCCCCCCCCCCCCCCCCCCCAAAAAAAAAAAGTGTAAAGTGGTTATCCCACTGGCTATAGGGTGAATGCACCAATTTGTAAGTCGCTCTGGATAAGAGCGTCTGCTAAATGACGTAAATGTGCCCTTGAGCAAGGCACTTAACCCTAATTGCTCCTGTAAGTCGCTCTGGATAAGAGCGTCTGCTAAATGACTAAAATGTAAATGTAAATGTAATACAGTGACAACTAAAAGATAACAAAAGCTATTTAGTCTAATCAACGTAAGCTAAATATGACGTGGCTGTCCATGGCACTGATTTCTGGGTGTAGGCCTGTGTGTGTGTGTGTGTGTGTGTGTGTGTGTGTGCGCAAGTATAAAAAACATGTTGACTCACTCTACTTGTAAAGGAACGCCATGCCGTCCTCCTCCCATGTCACCAAAACATGTTGACTCACCCTACTTGTAAAGGAATGCCATGCCGTCCTCCTCCCATGTCACCAAAACATGTTGACTCACCCTACTTGTAAAGGAACGCCATGCCGTCCTCCTCCCATGTCACCAAAATATGTTGACTCACCCCACTTGTAAAGGAACGCCATGCCGTCCTCCTCCCATGTCACCAGAACATGTTGACTCACCCTACTTGTAAAGGAACGCCATGCCGTCCTCCTCCCATGTCACCAAAACGGTCTATGACTCTGTCATACAGTAGTACACGCTTTTAGTTTTTGATGTCTTAGACTAGGCTACCTGGCTAAAATACTTACTTGCCTAACTTCCTTTCATGAGCAACGATGAGCCAGAGCTACTTAACATTAGCCTAGCCTGCTACATCTAGCTAGTAGCTACATATTGGACTTCCATCCTCTCAGGCCAGGGGCACAATTATTTATTGATTATCCAACCTTTATTTAAACAGGGAGTCACATTGAGATTAAAAATATATTTTACAAGAGAGCCCTGTATACACTACAATAAAAACAGAATAATAAAACAACATACATGTTTATAAAACAATATAATTCAGCACACAATAAACAAATGTAATAAAAGCAATCACATTCAACTACATAGAGGTCCTCAATCAATAATTTAAAACTGCCTGAGTGGCACCAGAACATCTAACTGCACTGAACTCTGCAGATTGTTCCACAAATTAGGGTCAAAAAACCTAAATGCAGATTTCCCCAAATCTGTGGAGACTGAAGGGATCTCTAGTGTTACCCATTCCTGAGAACGGGTTTGGTAACTTATGATTCTTAACTTAATTAAGATACAGTCTTCTGGGCTCCTCCAGGAGACCTCTTCCGGGATACCGTCTTCTGGGCTCCTCCAGGAGGGCTCCTCCAGGAGACGTCCTCCGGGATACCGTCTTCTGGGCTCCTCCAGGAGACCTCCTCCAGGATACCGTCTTTTGGGCTCCTCCAGGAGACCTCATCCGGGATACCGTCTTCTGGGCTCCTCCAGGAGACCTCCTCCAGGATAACGTCTTTTGGGCTCCTCCAGGAGACCTCCTCCGGGATACCATCTTCTGGGCTCCTCCAGGATACAGTCTTCTGGGCTCCTCCAGGAGACCTCCTCCGGGATACCGTCTTCTGGGCTCCTCCAGGAGACCTCCTCCGGAATACCGTCTTCTGGGCTCCTCCAGGAGACCTCCTCCGGGATACCGTCTTCTGGGCTCCTCCAGGAGACCTCCTCCGGGATACGTGCCTGTCAAGACCTGGCACGTCCAGCAGAGGGAGCCATCGCCGCGTAATGTAGACTGTCTGTCACCAGGCCTCGACGAGTCTCCCCCTGGTGGGTAACCTGCGGTACGCCACAATGTAAACAATATCACCAAAATCCAATACAGGGAGAAGCATTGTTTGAACAATCTTTCTCCTATTTTCAATACCGAGGCATGATTTATTTAGATATATAAAAACAATGTTGGATCTTAGCTTCTTAGTCAGATTTTCTATATGCATTACGAAGGACAACTTGTCATCAATCCAGACACCCAGGTACTTATATTGAGAAACTAGCTCAATTTGGGCTCCATTTGTAGCGCAAATATGCAGGTCCTCAGGGTCAACATTTCGTGCCCTAGAGAACAACATGAGCTTGGTTTTACTTGTATTTCACACTAATGTAAGATCTGTAAGTGATTTCTGAATTGAATCAAAGTCATGCTGAAGTTCACGAATGGCCTGCTGCACTGAGGTGGCACAGGAATACAAAACTGTGTCATCTGCATAGAGATGAATGTTCCAAGTATTAACAGTGTTTCCTCTGTCATTAATATGAACAATAATGGACCCAAAATAGAACCCTGAGGAACACCTTTTTGAATCTCAAGAAATTCAGATTGAACCCCGTCTGTCAAGATGGCCTGAGTCACTAAGATAATTCTGAAAGCATAAACAGGCTGTATATCCCAGGCCTACTCTAGATAACGTCTTCAGCAAAACAGATCAACAGTGTCGAACGCCTTTGGCAGGTCAATAAACAAGGCAGCACAGCTCTTTTTAGCATCCAAGGCATCGACAAGATCATTAACAACTAGCGTGGTTGCCGTGGTAGCACTATGCCCAGGCCTAAACCCTGATTGGTTTATATTAAAAATACAACTATCAGATAAAAAGGAACAAAGTGGTACATTAACCAAGGATTCAATAATCTTAGCTCAACAAGGTAGTCTTGAAATGGGGCGATAGTTGTCCAGATCATGTGTTTCCCCACCCTTATGGAGGGGCAGCACATATGCAGATTTCCATGCTTTTGGAATGCTTCCTGATAACAATGTTAAATTAAAAATGTGGCCTACTGAGCCGGCAATAAGGGGAGCTGCACACTTAAGCAGACCAGGCTCCAAATGATCAGCCCCTGTGGATTTTATTTTGTTTAATGTTAGCAAAGCATCCAGGACTTCTTTATCAGTGAATTTCCGAAAAGGAAACTCCTGAGTAGCGTTTTCAGTATCACTCAACATCCAAACTACTCTTTTCAAGAGCTGGCTTTGAAATACAAATACAGTGGGGAAAAAAAGTATTTAGTCAGCCACCAATTGTGCAAGTTCTCCCACTTAAAAAGATGAGAGAGGCCTGTACTTTTCATCATAGGTACACGTCAACTATGACAGACAAATTGAGGAAAAAAAATCCAGAAAATCACATTGTAGGAATTTTAATGAATTTATTTGCAAATTATGGTGGAAAATAAGTATTTGGTCACCTACAAACAAGCAAGATTTCTGGCTCTCACAGACCTGTAACTTCTTCTTTAAGAGGCTCCTCTGTCCTCCACTTGTTACCTGTATTAATGGCACCTGTTTGAACTTGTTATCAGTATAAAAGACACCTGTTCACAACCTCAAACAGTCACACTCCAAACTCCACTATGGCCAAGACCAAAGAGCTGTCAAAGGACACCAGAAACAAAATTGTAGACCTGCACCAGGCTGGGAAGACTGAATCTGCAATAGGTAAGCAGCTTGGTTTGAAGAAATCAACTGTGGGAGCAATTATTAGGAAATGGAAGACATACAAGACCACTGATAATCTCCCTCAATCTGGGGCTCCACGCAAGATCTCACCCCGTGGGGTCAAAATGATCACAAGAACGGTGAGCAAAAATCCCAGAACCACACGGGGGGACCTAGTGAATGACCTGCAGAGAGCTGGGACCAAAGTAACAAAGCCTACCATCAGTAACACACTACGCCGCCAGGGACTCAAATCCTGCAGTGCAAGACGTGTCCCCCTGCTTAAGCCAGTACATGTCCAGGCCCGTCTGAAGTTTGCTAGAGTGCATTTGGATGATCCAGAAGAGGATTGGGAGAATGTCATGAAACCAAAATAGAACCTTTTGGTAAAAACTCAACTCGTCGTGTTTGGAGGACAAAGAATGCTGAGTTGCATCCAAAGAACACCATACCTACTGTGAAGCATGGGGGTGGAAACATCATGCTTTGGGGCTGTTTTTCTGCAAAGGGACCAGGACGACTGATCCGTGTAAAGGAAAGAATGAATGGGGCCATGTATCGTGAGATTTTGAGTGAAAACCTCCTTCCGTCAGCAAGGGCATTGAAGATGAAACGTGGCTGGGTCTTTCAGCATGACAATGATCCCAAACACACCGCCCGGGCAACGAAGGAGTGGCTTCGTACGAAGCATTTCAATGTCCTGGAGTGGCCTAGCCAGTCTCCAGATCTCAACCCCATAGAAAATCTTGGAGGGAGTTGAAAGTCTGTGTTGCCCAGCGACAGCCCCAAAACATCACTGCTCTAGAGGAGATCTGCATGGAGGAATGGGCCAAAATACCAGCAACAGTGTGTGACAACCTTGTGAAGACTTACAGAAAACGTTTGACCTGTGTCATTGCCAACAAAGGGTATATAACAAAGTATTGAGAAACTTTTGTTATTGACCAAATACTTATTTTCCACCATCATTTGCAAATCAATTCATTAAAAATCCTACAATGTGATTTTCTGGAATTTTTTTCCTCATTTTGTCTATCCTAGTTGACTTGTACCTATGATGAAAATTACAGGCCTCTCTCATCTTTTTAAGTGGGAGAACTTGCACAATTGGTGGCTGACTAAATACTTTTTTCCCCCACTGTATATAGCTTGCAGAGATAAAAACGGTGATTCAATGCATTAATGATATCCATTCTGTCAGTAATAGGGCCAGAATCTAAATTAATTCCTTGGGGGAGAGAAGAGGAGACGCAACCTTTCAGTGACGTAACAGCTTTCCAAAATGTACCTGGGTTCCCTGTACATTCAGATAGTGTATTAACATAATAATCTAATTTTGCTTTTTTAACTAGTTTTACACACAGATTTCTCAAATCGCCTGAAAGACTGCCAGTCTGGACCCCGAGTCTGTGAATCTAGCTTTGGCCCAGGCAGCATCTCTGTTGGAGTATGACTTCAGATAGCTCTGGACTGAACCAAGGGCAATACCTTTTTTTAATTCTCTGTTTTTTAAAGGGCGCATGTTTATCTACAATACAATTGAAAACATTTGAGAAGTGGTTCAGAGCCAACTCTGGGTCAGGTATAGATGTAATACAATCAAAGTCACCTAAATAAAGGTCACAGAAAATGGCCTGTTCATTGACATTTTTAAAATTCCTCGTTGATAAAGCAAGGTTTGGATCCAGGCATCCGTATATCCCTGACACATACAATGGGACAGTGGTCACTAATATCCAAAGCAAATACCCCACTCCCACCATATTTCTCTGGAGTATTTATAAGTATGAGGTCAATCAAAGTAGATTTCGTAGGGTCCTTTAAGTTTGGACGAGTGGGCTTTGTAATCAGCTGGGTCAAATTTAGATTAGTACAAAAATCATTTAAACAGTCAGCATTCTGCGTTCCCATGCAAGATTAAAATCTCCAGCAATCAACACCTCTGGGGTAGTAAAAATGGCAATTAAGTCAGTGAGTTCGTTTAGTACACACTTCTTAGTGGAGGCTGGACGATAGATTCCTATAACCAGGGGTGCACATAACTGGTACGCAGGTACGCAAGCGCAACAGAAATCAGGAATGCGTAATGCCACTTGTGTTACTACGCGCCTTTGCGTACTTGACCGATCTTCTCATCTAACCTTACACATGACATGTTGCTTGTCAACTACTGTCAGGGATGTCCAAAAAGCAACAGACATTAAGCAGCTTCTTTTGGCGTTTCGCCACCTACAAAGAAACGCCAACTGGAGCCAGAGCCGAAGAAAATAATTTTTTCGGAAAAGTGGCTCCAAGATGTGCAGTGGCTTGAAGCTAACGAATGTGGTGCAAGATTTGCCGCTCAAATCCACATCTAGCAGACAAAACAGGTGCATTTTATAAAGGCTCAAAGAATTTCAACCATCCTTTATTTGACAAACATGAAAAGAGCAAGGAGCACACGAATGTGGCGCAAGCCATTGCTAAACTAGCTAGCCGAGAAGAAATGTCCAGTCGCCCACTTGCCAGATGGCGAGACAAGCTGAATGAAGAACAGCGGCAAGCTCTGTTTAATATTTTTCTCCTCGCCTTCCATAAAGCTAAACACGCACGTCCCATGTCTTCCTATTCTGAGGATGTTCCTTTACTGAAGCGGCTAGGAGTAAATGTCGGAGGTGCATATCATTCACGTGAAGGGGGCACACGGATCATGCAGAGCATCGCTCACACCATCAGCGGGGAGTTACGAGCCAAGTTGCAGTCTGCTGAATTTTGGAGGCTGCTTTTTGATGGATCTGAGGACATCACAAAAACTGAACAGGAAATCGTTTACATTGTGTCTGTGTCCAGCAACGGAGAGTTTACTTCGGACTTTATTGGACTGATTGAATTGGGTGCTGACCAAACCGCGCAGGCCATAACAGACGGACTTGTGAGACTTTTCCAGGACACAGGCTTGGATGACTGGACAACAAAGTTGGTCGCCGTGTGCACAGACGGGGCTGCTGTCAACGTAGGTATCTACAACGGCGTTGTGCCAAAACTCCGGCAACTTGCTGCGGTTGGAGACTACCTTGTGCACATTCTGTGCACCGCACACACACTGGAGAATTGCGCGAAATCAGCTGATCGCAACGTTCCTTACTGTGAGACATTTAATCGCTCTGTGGTCAAGCTGCTGCAGTTTTATTTACAAAAAGGTGGAGCAAAAAAAACTGCTGCACTGAATAAGCTATGTGAAGAAAATGGGATCTCCTTTGTGAAACTGGGTAAGTTTCATAATATCAGATGGTCTGCATGGAGGCATGAAACACTGTTAAAAATATCAAGACTATTGCCAGCCATTAAAATGCAACTGGTTACGAGTGATAACAGTGACTTGCAGCATATCTGCTCAGAGCGTTTTCAGTGCTTTCTGTCAAACATGCTTGACATTTGCAACATTTTGAAGACCACATCCATTAGGTTTCAGAAGGAAAAGCTGACCATTGGAGAATGTAAGGATGAACTCATGGTGGCCATTGGACAGTTCACACTTCTGCTTGATGGTGAAAGCCACAGGGCACACACTGTTTCCAATGCTGATGCTGACAGAGACAAGACACACTTACTCAGGGGGTTAATTGAAGAGTTTGAAATCAGATATGACTCCCTCAAGTCATGTGATCATTTCTTAGTATTTGATCCTTCAACATGGCCTCAGGAAATGCAAGACCTCCACAGTTTTGGAAACACAACAGTTTGCAGCATTCTCAAGAAATATGAGGCCACCTTGCAACTTGACAAAGATACCACTGTGACAGAATGGATGCACTTAAAGCAGGCAGGAAAACGCCTGGGAGCCTCTTCTGTGTATGACTTGGTCCAAATAGTAAATACAAGTAACCCAGATGCTTACTCCAACATCAACAAGGTGGTTAAGCTGTCTCTTACACTGCCTTTAAGCAGTGCAGCTTGTGAGAGGGGATTCTCACATCTCAACATAATAAAAACCAAGTACAGATCTCGTCTGTCACATGCTCGTCTCTCAGCACTGATGCACATTCACCTGTCAAAGCAGACCACAGAGACATTTGACCCAAAGCCTGCTGTTGACCTGTGGATGGAGACAGCTAATCAGAGGCTCAACCAAGGACAGGGAGGTGCATCTGCAGCATCTTCATCATCTACCATGCAGGAAGCTGAAGCAGAGGACAGTGGGGGACGACACTGAGGAGGACAGTGAGGAAGACTGCACTTATTAAGACCACGCTACATATGGGGTGAGTACCAGACACCATCTGCTGGTACTCACCTGAGTAACTCACTGGAAAAGTTATGTGCACCCCTGCCTATAACTGTTCTTTTTGAGTTTGAACCCAACTGAAGACTTAAAGCCAACAGTTCAAATGGTTGAGGACAGGAGGTAGCCTTTAACAGAGACACAGACAGAAGAGTCTTTGTGTAAATAGCAACACCACCACCTTAGTCTTTCCTATCAGCCCTAAACACATAGTAACCATCCATAGCAACCTCAGAGTCCAGGGTTTTATCAGTTAACCAGGTTTCAGATACAATAAAAATATCAGGGTCTGACTGAGAGGCCCAGATCTTGACATTATCCATTTTAGGTAATAAACTACGAATGATAAGATGTAGAAACTTCAAACCTCAATACAAGTCAGATTACTTTGAGATTTCAGAACAACAGGAGACTCAAAGATTGGATTATACCTATTAGGAAAAGAAAACAAAGTAGGAATAGCAATTAAACCATTAGGCATGTCACCACTTTCAGATACATCTCTGGTTAGCACCATTAGGCATGTCACCACTTTCAGATACATCTCTGGTTAGCACCATTAGGCATGTCACCACTTTCAGAAACATCTCTGGTTAGCACCATTAGGCATGTCACCACTTTCAGAAACATCTCTGGTTAGCACCATTAGGCATGTCACCACTTTCAGATACATCTCTGGTTAGCACCATTAGGCATGTCACCACTTTCAGATACAACATGTGGAACTCTCACAGTCACCAAAAAGGAGATGGTAAAAACGAACTTACATGTAATGCTAATACTGTCCTCACATCAATTTAGTTGACCAAGAACCTTTCCAATGTTTCATGACAACAGCCGGGAGCTATTTTCACCCAGGTAAATTCCGTCTCCACAAAGTAGCCAGGCCTATTCCAGAAGGAGTCAAAATTGTCGACGAAGGACATGCCCAAGTCCTTGGTCAGACGCATTAACCACTGAGGAAGAGACCAAAGACGGCTAAAACACTCAGTCCCTCAACGGCGAGGAGATGGAATTCGGCCCGAGACAATTACATGTTCTGCTAATTTCTGATCATTCTCCAAGAGCTGTAAGAAATTGTCTCTTAGCTTTATAGATTTCACAAACATAACATCATTAGACCCAATATGCAACACAACTGTTTTCAGAACAGGAATCTGTTTTCTTGATGGTGGGCATGACTTCTGATAAATCCAATACCCCTAGCTCCAGGAAAACAATGTGTGAATTATGGTTGGATCAGAATCACCGTTAAAATTATTTGCTGGTACGGAGAATTAAATAAAACCACAAGTCCAAATCCCGATCACCATCCATGGCTAATTTAGGAAAGGGATGATTTTAGCTAGCTAGATTGCTAGCCACCGGAGGACAACGACACAACGATATGCAACTATTCACGTTTTTTTTTTCTCAGTAAATTATGTTTTGCTTTTGATGTGATGTGATTGGTGTGAAGCCAAATCCAATCTGGTTTCCCTTGACACTTGTTTTTTTGGGCGCCAGGACCATTCACAGTTGAGCTCACTCAGTTTAGCTCAACGCTGATTAGTTATTATTTTATACCTTTTTTTTTTATCAAGGGAGGCCAAATGCTCGCAGGCTACCCTTGCTATTAAATTCAATGCTATTTTGTCTCTCTGTTTCATAATTTTCCTTCAATTCGCAAGTGGCTAAATGTATCACACTGGAGAAAGCATCCAAGCGAGGGAAACAGCGCCCCTCTGTCTCAGTATATGTAGACCGTGTGTCTTATGCTGTCTGGGGAGAAGGGTAACATCTTATGAGTTCCAACCCAACTTTGCTATTTAGTGACGTTTATCTTGACTTTTTTTGTACAGAAAGTTCATACTATTATCACATATGACCGTCAAGCACTTCTGTTTACAAAGGAAAGCCACTTTGGATTTTGGCTTCACACCAATCACATCACATCAAAAGCAAAATGTAATTGACAGAAAAAACATGAATTGTTGCATCTCGTTGGGAAGTTGTCCTCCGGTGGCTAGCTAGCTAGCTAAAATCGTCCCTTTCCTAAATTAGCCATGGATGGTGATCGGGATTTGGACTTGTGGTTTTACTTAATTCTCCGTACCGGCAAATAATTATAACGGTGATTCTGATCCAACCATAATTCATACATTGTGCCCCTGCCAAGAGTGTGCAAAGCTGTCATTAAGGCAAAGGGTGGCTATTTGAAGAACCTCAGATATAAAATATATTTTGATTTGTTTAATACTTTATGGGTTACTACATGATTCCATATGTGTTATTTCATAGTTCTGATGTCTTCACTGTTATTCTACAATGTAGGAAATAGTATAAATAAAGAACAACCCTTGAATGAGTAGGTGTGTCCAAACTTTTGACTGGTACTGTATACACACACATATACAGTTGAAGTCGTAAGTTTACATACACCTTAGCCAAATACATTTAAACTCAGTTTTTCACAATTCCTGACATTTAATCCTAGTAAAAATTCCCTGTCTTAGGTCAGTTAGGATCACCACTTTATTTTAAGAATGTGAAATGTCAGAATAATAGTAGAGAGAATGATTTATTTCAGCTTTTATTTCTTTCATCACATTCCCAGTGGGTCAGAAGTTTACATACACTCAATTAGTATTTGGTAGCATTGCCTTTAAATTGTTTAACTTGGGTCAAACGTTTCGGGTAGCCTTCCACAAACTTCCCACAATAAGTTGGGTGAATTTTGGCCCACTCCTCCTGACAGAGCTGGTGTAACTGAGTCAGGTTTGTAGGCCTCCTTGCTCGCACACGCCTTTTCTGGCCACAAATTTTCTATAGGATTGAGGTCAGGTCTTTGTGATGGCCACTCCAATACCTTGACTTTGTTGTCCTTAAGCCATTTTGCCACAACTTTGAAAGTATGCTTGGGGTCATTGTCCATTTGGAAGACCCATTTGCGACCAAGCTTTAACTTCCTGACTGATGTCTTGAGATGATGCTTCAATATATCCACATAATTTTCCTTCCTCATGATGCCATCTATTTTGTGAAGTGCACCAGTCCCTCCTGCAGCAAAGCACCCCAACAGCATGATGCTGCCACCCCCATGCTTCACGGTTGGGATGGTGTTCTTCGGCTTGCAAGCGACCCCCTTTTTCCTCCAAACATTACGATGGTCATTATGGCCAAACAGTTCTATTTTTGTTTCATCAGACCAGAGGACATTTCTCCAAAAAGTACGATCTTTGTCCCCATGTGCAGTTGCAAACCGTAGTCTGGCTTTTTTATGGCGGTTTGGAGCAGTGGCTTCTTCTTTGCTGAGCGGCCTTTCAGGTTATGTCGATATAGGACTCGTTTTACTGTGGATATAGATACTTTTGTACCCGTTTCCTCCAGCATCTTAACAAGGTCCTTTGCTGTTGTTCTGGGATTGATTTGCACTTTTCGCACCAAAGTATGTTCATCTCTAGGAGACAGAACGTGTCTCCTTCCTGAGCGGTATGACGGCTGCGTGGTCCCATGGTGTTTATACTTGCGTACTATTGTTTGTACAGATGAACGTGGTACCTTCAGGTGTTTGGAAATTGCTCCATTTAGCCTACTCAAACACCTAACTCAAACAGAGAGGGATGCTATGTTAGCTAGCTGGCTGGAACTGGTCCTCTGTAGCTCAGCTGGTAGAGCTAATTAATTTATTTAAAAATGCTAGCGAATGCAGCTAGCTAGTTTAGCCTACTCAAACACCTAACTCAAACAGAGAGGGATGCTATGTTAGCTAGGTGGCTATGACTATCCAACACTGGAACTCTTCCAAGTTCAGGTAAGTTCAGGTAAGCTTTTGGTTTTATTCATTTATTGCCACCAGGGGGCCGCCGGTATAACTGCTAAACTGCTTTCTGACTGTACACTGTACTGCTTGGTTTACTAACACGTTAGTTGTAGTAGCTCTAGTTGACTATGACGTGACAAGGATGTAGGCTGTGTGTAGCGGTTAGCGGTCATTATATGAAGGTTCGGCTCGGAAAGGTTTTTTCGCCTGGTCACAGACAGCTGATGTGTTGTGCACTAAAGTCCACAAGCAAAGGGAAAAGGTGAGAGGAGGAGAGCACATAGATAGTTGAGAGAAGGAATTAATGAGCAAAGTGATCCCGTGTAGCTCAGTTGGTAGAGCATGGCGCTTGCAACGCCAGGGTTGTGGGATCGATTCCCACGGGGGACTAGTATGAACAAAAAAAAAAAAATGTTTGCACTCACTAACTGTAAGTCGCTCTGGATAAGAGCGTCTGCTAAATGACTAAAAATGTAAAAATCATGCTGTTTGTACGTGGCTGCTATGAAAGTGAACTGTTTGCGTGTGATCAGGGGTGTATTCATTTCTCAGATTCTGTTGAAAAACGGAATGAAACGGGGATAAACATACCTGAATTTGTCCAATAGAAACTCTCGTTTGAAACTGTTGGACTAATGATTACACCCTAGATCAGCTAGATGCAGGCAAGAGTGCGCAAGGCGGTATTGAATGTGTCAATGTCTGTCACCTTGATTACTCAAAATTCTCTTGACCAGTGCACCTACTGTACGTTGTAAACTTTCATTCATAAGCTAGGTTGTAGGAACCTCATGATGGCTATAGGGAACATTAGAGTATCATATAGTATCCTAAACCTATCTATGTTACATTGAGCTGGGTGAATGGAATATGAATGACAGTCATCCAACATGCTGTAATAGAAATAAGGCCATGCTCATAATTTAAAAAAAAATCATCCTCTCTTATCTTAAATGGCCCCAACCACCACTGGTTTAATATATTCCCCCACTGTGGGACTATTGTCTTCTTGCTGTCTCTGCCTTATATATCAAAAGGTGGCATATGAACTAACAGGTTATAGAGAAAACAACACAGCTCGTCATAGGGCTTTTTTTCCTGGCTTGGCTTCCCAAATGGATATTAACCACGCACCGACACTGTGATTGAATAATCTTGCCATTTAGCTCTGTTTGCAGACAACACAACAGAAAGAGAAAATACTCCATCTGTTGATGCTATTAAACACAATTTCGCTGTTCTCTTGTGCCTAATGACGTATGTAGTCTAGGCAGTGTGTGTATGAAGCTCCATTCAGCCGTTTGAATGGGTCTACAGATCTACACGTCTTTATAACCTATCTCCCTGTTACATTGTGTTGGTTAGCCCTGGAGGCAAAATTATGTTGGATAGTAGCGGGGTTCTCTCTATCTCTCTCTCTCTCTCATTAAACAGATCGTTTATTCGCCACAGGATGCAACAGGTGGAAAACAGTACAGTGAAATTCTTACCTTGAGAGCTCTTTCCCAACAATGCACTGATAATAATAATATACACTGAACAAAAATAAACGCAACAACTTACAGTTCAGGAAATCAGTTGATTGAAAGAAATTCATTCATGCAGCGCGACACATCTCCTAGAGTTGAACAGGCTGTTGATTGTGGCCTGTGGAATGCTGTCCCACTCCTCTTCAATGGCTGTGCGAAGTTGCTGGATATTGACGGGAAACACGCTGTCGATCCAGAGCATCCCAAACATTCTCAAATGGGTGACATGTCTGGTGACTATGCAGGCCATGGAAGAACTGGGACATTTTCAGCTTCCAGGAATTGTGTACAGATCCATGGGGCATTATCATGCTGAAACATGAGGTGATGGCGGTGGATGAATGGCACGTCAATGGGCCTCAGGATCTCGTCATGGTATCTCTGTACATTAAAATTGCCATCAATAAAATGCAATTGTGTTCGTTGTCCGTAGCTTATGCCTGCCCATACCATAACCCCACCACCACCATGGGGCACTCTGTTCTCAACACTGACATCAGCAAACTGCTCGCCCACACGACGCCATACATAGTGTCTGCCATCTGCCCGGTACAGTTGAAACTGAGATTCATCCGTGAAGAGCACACTGCACCAGCATACCAGTGGCCGTTGAAGGTGAGCATTTGCCCACTGAAGTCTGTTACGATGTCAAAATCGTCTAACAGAGTGGACCAATGCGCAGCGTTGAATGCAAACATATTTATTCTCACTGAAGGCAACACGAACAAAACAATGAACGATACGTGACAGTTCACGGTTGCCATAAACAGACTCGAAACAAAAACCCACAAACACGAATGAAAACCCGACTGTTTAAATATGGCTCCCAATCAGAGACAACCAGCTGACACTCGTTGCCTCTGATTGGGAGTCACTCAGACCAACATAGAAATAAGTAACCTAGACCCACAACAAAAACATAGAAACTAACACCCTGGCTCAACATACGAGAGTCCCCCGAGCCAGGGCGTGACAGTACCCCCCCCTAAAGGCGCGGACTCCGACCGCGCCAACGAAACACAACAGGGGAGGGACCGGGTGGGCACTCCGCCTAGGCGGTGGATCCGGCTCCGGGCATGATCCCCACTCGCTCTCTAACCCCCCAAAGTACCCCTGGTCCGGTCTGGTCCTGCTGACCGGAGCTGGACTGCACACTGGTGGAGCGGATTGCTCTAGCTCCGGCGTAACGCATCTGACTGGCGCCGGACCAGGCACCAGTGGAACAGGCACGTGCCGTGCCGGACCGACGACGCACACCACTGGCTTGGTGTGGGGAACAGGCACGGGCCGTGCTGAACTGACGACGCACACCACTGGCTTGGTGTGGGGAGCAGGAGCGGGCCGGACAGGGCTGACGAAACGCACCACAGACTTGGTGCTGGGAGCAGGAATGGGCCGGACTGGGCTGGCGACGCGCACCCCAGACCTGGTGCGGGGAGCAGGAACGGGCAGAGCCGGGCTGACGAGACGCACCACAGGCTTGGTGCGGGGAGCAGGAATGGGCCGGACTGGGCTGGCGACGCGCACCACAGACCTGGTGCGGAGAGCAGGAACGGGCAGAGCCGGGCTGACGAGACGCACCACAGACTTGGTGCGGGGAGCAGGAACAGACCGGACCGTACTAGGGACACACACCACTGGCCCTACACCGGGATCTGGAACGGGCCGGACCGGACTGGTAACACACCCCAGTACCTCTCGCCGTGCCTCTACACCTTCCATCCCCTCTTCTACCAGTGGCCCCCGTAACCTGGCGGCCTCCTCTGCAACCCCGCTGGACCGCTCCATAGCGGCCTCCTGCTGCCCCGACGTTGTGAGCCCCCCCCTAAAAATTTTCTGGGGGTCTCTCCTCCCCGTGGGCCAGGCCTCCATCGTTCTCGCCCACCTCTCGCTCCTCTGTCTCCAACCCTCGTCACTCAGCTCCTCAATGGGCTTGACCCAGTCGAAGCTGCCACGGAGATCTGCCAGCGATTTCCCTGGCGATGGCTACTCGACTCGCTGCTTGGTCCAGTTGTGGTGGGTTTTTCTGTCAAGATCGTCTAACAGAGTGGACCAATGCGCAGCGTTGAATGCAAACATATTTATTCTCACTGAAGGCAACACGAACAAAACAATGAACGATACGTGACAGTTCACGGTTACCATAAACAGACTCGAAACAAAAACCCACAAACACGAATGAAAACCCGACTGTTTAAATATGGCTCCCAATCAGAGACAACCAGCTGACACTCGTTGCCTCTGATTGGGAGTCACTCAGACCAACATAGAAATAAGTAACCTAGACCCACAACAAAAACATAGAAACTAACACCCTGGCTCAACATACGAGAGTCCCCCGAGCCAGGGCGTGACATACGACGCCGAACTGCAGTCGGGTCAAGACCCTGGTGAGGACGACGAGCACGCAGATGGGCTTCCCTGAGACGGTTTATGACCGTTTTTTACAGAAATTCTTCGGTCTCAGATTATCTCTGCATGTGAAGAAGCCGGATGTGGAGGTCCTGGGCTGGTGTGGTTACACGTGGTCTGCGGTTATGAGGCCGGTTGGACGTACTGCCAAATTCTCTAAAACGACGTTGGAGGTGGCTTAAAGTAGAGAAATGAACATTCAATTATCTGGCAACAGCTCTGCTGGACATTCCTACAGTCACCATGCCAATTCCACACTCCCTCAAAGCTTGAGACATCTGTGGCACTGTGTTGTGTGACAAAACTGCACATTTTAGAGTGGCCTTTTATTGTCCACAGCACAATGTGCACCTGTGTAATCAGCTTCTTGATATGCCGAGTGCTGAAGCGCATAGCGAGTAAGATTTGTCTGTCCTCGGTTACAACACTCACTACCGAGTTCCAAACTGCCTCTGGAATCAACGTCAGCTCAAGAACTGTTCGTCGGAAGTGTCATTAAATGGGTTTCCATGGCTGAGTAGCCGCACACAAAGCCTATGATCACCATGCGCAATGCCAAGCGTCGACTGGAGTGGTGTAAAGCTCGCCGCCATTGGACTCTGGAACAGTGGAAACGTGTTCTCTGGAGTGATGAATCACGCTTCATCATGTGGCAGTCCGACGGACAAATCTGGGTTTGGTGGATGCCAGTAGAACGCTACCTACCCCAATGCATAGTGCCAACTGTAAAGTCTGGTGGAGGACGAATAATGGTCTGGGGCTGTTTTTCATGGTTCGGGCCCCTTAGTTCCATCTAGAAAGATGCCCGATGTTCCGAGAGGGATGACCGTTCCAAACTATTTTACCCCGTCGGACCTAATTCTTTTTGGAGTTCCCAGTTGTCTTGAACGCACTGAAGTCTGAGATTTACGAGTTCCCAGTTGTTTTGAACACGGCATTAGTCTCAGCGGAGGGAGGGAGGGAGGGAGGGAGGGAGGGAGAGAGCACGGTCCCTGCTCTCTCTTTCCTTTCCTCCGGTGAGACTGACCAGAGAGAGGAGACACCGTCTTCCACCTGATGGCGAAACTCAAGTCGCACCGCATCTGCCTCAGGCACAAACTCATGATGACTAGAGAATGTGAAATACTCCTCGATATTAAAATAGACAGACGAGCTGCTAATAATAATAATAATAATAAAAACGCAGGGTTATCGATAGCCTACACTTGGCTACTCATTCATTTCAGCTGCAGCGAGTGGAAGTAGAGAGAAGCGCCTTTTAGGTTTTGTAATAGTGTTGAATAAAAACATTGTTGACACTGCTGAATAAAACTTAAACATGAACTCACTCATAGAAACAGCAGCTCTTTGCTGTATTCTTTGACAGTCTCTCTCTGGTCATGGTGTTAAAAGTTATGAAATCTCACATAGGCTAGTATCAAACTTTGCTGTGGTTGTTGAAGCTGTTGGTAGGCACGGTGATTTGAGCTATCTGATTGGCTAGGGCATTAGGCACACTCGATTTAGCCATAGATCTCCCGGTCCGCCGGGTAGGCAGAGATTTTGTCTTTTCAGACAAATGAAATGGTTCAAAATGGGAACACTTTGTCTACCCAGTGCACAGGGCTTCTGAATCAACTGCACCCACCGCCAACAGGGCTTCTGAATCAACTGCACCTACCGCCAACAGGGCTTCTGAATCAACTGCACCTACCGCCAACAGGGCTTCTGAATCAACTGCACCTACCGCCAACAGGGCTTCTGAATCAACTGCACCTACCGCCAACAGGGCTTCTGAATCAACTGCACCTACCGCCAACAGGGCAACACAGAAAAAAAGGAACGCAAACCTTTATGCCATTATCGTAAGGCTTTTCTACAGAAATGTTTGGTGATCGACTAGTAATGCCTTGAAGATCGACCAGTCGATCACAATCGACCGGTTGGTGGCCATTGTTGTACATGTAAACAGGAATAATAGTGACCAGTAGCAGGATAAATAGATTCATACTAATGGTAATGGCAATCAATGGACAGCAGCGTAATGGAGTAATACATCTAATCAAATAATCATTTTAGCTGCAGCGTAGGTCTGAGTGGGTAGAGACCTGTGGATGGGCGAGCAGTAGTTGTTAGCCATCTAACAGTCTTATGGCAAGGGGATAAAAGCTGTTTAGGACTCTGTTTGTCTGAGCCTTGATGCACCGGTACCGCCTGCCAGGCGGGAGCATGGAGAACAGTCCATGTCTCGGGTCGCTGGAGTCTTTGGCAATTTTTCGGGCCTTACTCAGACACCGCCTGGCATGTACGTCCTGTGGCGGCAGGTAGCTTAGTGGTTAAGAGCGTTGTGCCAGTAACCGAAAGGTCCCTGGTACTAATCCCCGAGCTGACTAGGTGAAAATCTGTCGATGTGCCCTTGAGCAAGGCACTTAACCCTAATTGCTCCTGTAAGTCGCTCTGGATAAGAGCGTCTGCTAAATGACTAAAATGTAAAATGTAAAAAATGGATGGCTGGGAGCTCGGCTCCAGTGATGCACCACCCTCTGTAGGGCCTTCCTGTCGTGGGCGGTGCAGCTGCCATACCAGACGATGATACAACCAGTCAGGATGCTCTCGAATGTGCGACTGTAAAAGTTCCTGAGGATCTGAGGGGCAATGCCAAATCGTTAAGGAGTCGTTTCCGTGCCTTCTTTACGACAGTTCTGGTGTGACAGGACCATGTTAAAGGAAAATTCCACCCAAAAACTTGGGGTATTTGTTTCATTAGTCCATTGTTGATATAGTCCCAAAATGTTTTGCATGACAACACTCAAGTTTTCAAGATCCAGTGCATTCAGAAAGTATTCATACCCCTTCACGTCTTCCACATTTGTAATGTGTTGGACAGATTTTCTCTCACCCATCTACACACAATACCCCATAATGACAAAGTGAAAACATGTTTTTAGAAATGTTTGCTAATTTATTGAAAATGACATACAGAAATAGCTCATTTACATAAGTATTCACACCCCTGAGTCAAAACTTTGTAGAAGCACCTTTGTCAGTGATTACAGCTGTGAGTCTTTCTGGGTAAGTCTCTAAGAGCTTTCCACACCTGGATTGTGCAACATTTGCCCATTATTCTTTTCAAAATGCTTCAACCTCTGTCGAATTGGTTGTTGATCATTGCTCAGCAACCATTTTCAAATCTTGTCATAGATTTTTCAAGTAGATTTAAGTCAAAACTGTAACTCGGCCACTCAGGAACATTCACGGTCTTCTTGGTAAGCAACTCCAGTGTAGATTTGGTCCTTGTGTTTTAGGTTATTGTCCTGCTGAAAGGTGAATTCATCTCCCAGTGTCTGTTGGAAAGCAGACTGAACCAGGTTTTCCTCTAGGATTTTGCCTGTGCTTAGCTCTATTCCGTTTATTTTTTATCCTGAAAAACTCCCCAGTCCATAACGATTACAAGCATACCCATGACATGAAGCAGCCACCACTATGCTTGAAAATATGGAGAGCGGTACTCAGTAATGTGTTGTATTGGATTTGCCCCAAACATAAAACAATTTGTATTCAGGACAAAAGTGCCTTGTTGCAAACAGGATGCATGTTTTGGAATATTTGCATTCTGTACAGGCTTCCTTCTTTTGACTCTGTCAATTAGGTTAGTATTGTGGAGTAACTACAATGTTGTTGATCCATCCTCAGTTTTTTCCTATCACAGCCATTAAACTCTGTAACTGTTTTAAAGTTACCATTGGCCTCATGGTGAAATCCCTGAGCGGTATCCTTCCTCTCCGGCAATTGAGTTAGTAGCTCCGCTGGTAGCTCCGTTGGTAGCTCCGCTGGTAGCTCCGCTGGTAGACCTAGACCAGGCAGGCTGAGTGCCGAGGGACCATTTGGTTCTGGAGCCCTCAGGTTGTCTGTGGACCTAGACCAGGCAGGCTGAGTGCTGAGGGACCATTTGGTTCTGGAGCCCTCAGGTTGTCTGTGGGCCTAGACCAGGCAGGCTGAGTGCCGAGGGACCATTTGGTTCTGGAGCCCTCAGGTTGTCTGTGGACCTAGACCAGGCAGGCTGAGTGCTGAGGGACCATTTGGTTCTGGAGCCCTCAGGTTGTCTGTGGACCTAGACCAGGCAGGCTGAGTGCTGAGGGACCATTTGGTTCTGGAGCCCTCAGGTTGTCTGTGGGCCTAGACCAGGCAGGCTGAGTGCTGAGGAATCATTTGGTTCTGGAGCCCTCAGGTTGTCTGTGGGCCTAGACCAGGCAGGCTGAGTGCCGAGTGACCATTTGGTTCTGGAGCCCTCAGGTTGTCTGTGGACCTAGACCAGGCAGGCTGAGGGACCATTTGGTTCTGGAGCCCTCAGGTTGTCTGTGGGCCTAGACCAGGCAGGCTGAGTGCTGAGGAATCATTTGGTTCTGGAGCCCTCAGGTTGTCTGTGGACCGTCTACCCTGTCTCCATCCTAATAACACCATATTCCCTTCATAGTGCACTTCTTTTGACCACACACGCACGCACACGCACACGCAATGACACCATGAATTAGGCCAGAGCTAATAGCAGACTGAGCCAAGGACAGGAACAGGAAGATACTGTAGTCTCTCCATATACACCTTGAGATGGGAGACACTTTGAATGAAGATCAGGAAATAAAAAGAGGCTTTGAATGAAGATCAGGAAATAAAAGGCGATGCAGTTCGAAACTCCCAGCCCATAATGATTAGACGGTAGTTAACACAGAGCATAGCCTCCAGTTAAAACAGACAAACATTGTAATTACCCTGAGACAGGATATCAAAGACTAGTTTGTCAGCATATGAGAGAGAAGCGGCCAGAGGCTTTACGTAGAGGAATAAATTAATGCTTTGCCAAATGTTAAGTACATTATTTGTTTGTTTTGGATAGGTTGCAATCAGAACACATATAATTATATATTTTCAATATTGCAAAGCACTTTACAAATGGTTACACCCCTGTCCTCAATTACAAAATGGTTCAACCTCTCAACATTACTGGTTACACCCCTGTCCTCAATGAGTCTGTCCTCAATTACAAATGGTACAACCTCTCAACATGACTTCCACGATGGCTGCTAGCACATCAAAAACAGCCTAATCCTGTCATCCATTTATCATCGACACTTCAATCCACTCATCTGAGAAAAAAGACAGAGTGCTTGAGAAAGTATTCATACCCTTTGACTTTTTCCACATTTTGTTGTGTTAAAACCTGAATTTAAAACGGATTACATTTAGATTTTTTTTTGTCATTGGCCTACACACAATACCCCATAATGTCAAAATTGAATTATGTTTTTCAACATTTGTACAAATTAATTAAATGTCTTGAGTCAATAAGAATTCAACCCCTTTTTTTATGGCAAGCCTAAATAAGCTCAGGAGTAAACATTTGCTTAACAAGTCACATAATAAATTGAATGGACTCTGTGTGCAATAATAACGTTTAACATGATTTTTGAATGACTTCCTCATCTCTGTACCCCACACATACAATTATCTATAAGGTCGCGCAGTCGAGCAGTGAATTTCAAGCACAGATTCAACCACAAAGACCAGGGAGGTTTTCCAATGACTTGCGTGCAAAGGAGGGCAATTGCTAGAAAAAGCAGACATTGAATATCCCTTTGAGCATGGTGAATTTATTAATTACACTTTGGGTGGTGTATCAATACACCCAGTCACCACAAAGATACAGGCATCCTTCCTAACTCAGTTGCTGGAGAGGAAGGAAACCGCTCAGGGATTTCACCATGAGGCCAATGGTGACTTTAAAACAGTTACAGAGTTTAATGGCTGTGATGGGAGAAAACTGAGGATGGATCAACAACATTCTAGTTACTCCACAATACTAACCTAACTGAAAGAGTGAAAAGAAGGAAGCCTGTACAGAATAAAAATATTCCAAAACATGCATCCTGTTTGCAACAAGGCACTAAAGTAATACTGCAAACAACGTGGCAAAGCAATTCACTTTCTGTCCTGAATACAAAGTGTTATGTTTGGGGAAAATACAATACAACACATTACCGAGTACCACTTTCCATATTTTCAAGCATAGTGGTGGATGCATCATGTTATGGGTATGCTTGTAATCATTATGGACTGGGGACACTAGAGAGTTGCTTACCAAGAAAACAGTGAATGTTCCTGAGTGGCCGAGTTACAGTTTTGACTTAAATCTGCTTGAAGATCTATGGCAAGACCTGAAAATGGTTGTCTAGCAATGATCAACAACCAACTTGACACAGCTTGAAACAAAATAATGTGCAAATATTGTACGATCCAGGTGTTTCCATTTCCATTTACGTCATTTAGCAGACACTCTTATCCAGAGCGACTTACAAATTGGTGCATTCACCTTATGATAGCCAGTGGGACAAGCACTTTACAATATGGGTAATTTTTTTGTTTTTTTTGTTTTTTGTTTTAAAGTGTTAAAAGCTCTTAGAGACTTACCCAGAAAGACTCACAGCTGTAACCACTGCCAAAGGTGATTCTAACATTGTATTGTCTCAGGGGTGTGAATGAGATATTTGTAAATGAGATATTTCTGTATTTCATCTTCAAGAAATTTGCTAGTTTCTAAAAACATGTTCTCTTTTTTTCCCATTATGGGGTATTGTGAGTAAATGGGTGAGAGAGAAAAAAAGATATTTCATCCATTTTGAATTCATGCTGTAACACAGCAAAATGTGGAATAAGTCAAAGATGACCAGTCTTTTTACTGTAGAAGAGTGCACATACACACACGAACTGAACAGTCTTTTCTGTGTCGTGACATGAGAGTGGGACAGGAGGAACTGTCACTGTCTAACATTCTAAGAGCAACAGTCTCTTAGGTAAACTCTAACCTGTCACTGTCTAACATTCTAAGAGCAACAGTCTCTAAGGTAAACTCTAACCTGTCACTGTCTAACATTCTAAGAGCAACAGTCTCTAAGGTAAACTCTAACCTGTCACTGTCTAACATTCTAAGAGCAACAGTCTCTAAGGTAAACTCTAACCTGTCACTGTCTAACACAGTGAGCAACAGTCTCTAAGGTAAACTCTAACCTGTCACTGTCTAACATTCTAAGAGCAACAGTCTCTAAGGTAAACTCTAACCTGTCACTGTCTAACACAGTGAGCAACAGTCTCTAAGGTAAACTCTAACCTGTCACTGTCTAACATTCTAAGAGCAACAGTCTCTAAGGTCAACTCTAACCTGTCACTGTCTAACACAGTGAGCAACAGTCTCTAAGGTAAACTCTAACCTGTCACTGTCTAACATTCTAAGAGCAACAGTCTCTAAGGTAAACTCTAACCTGTCACTGTCTAACATTCTAAGAGCAACAGTCTCTAAGGTAAACTCTAACCTGTCACTGTCTAACATTCTAAGAGCAACAGTCTCTAAGGTCAACTCTAACCTGTCACTGTCTAACACAGTGAGCAACAGTCTCTAAGGTAAACTCTAACCTGTCACTGTCTAACATTCTAAGAGCAACAGTCTCTTAGGTAAACTCTAACCTGTCACTGTCTAACATTCTAAGAGCAACAGTCTCTAAGGTAAACTCTAACCTGTCACTGTCTAACATTCTAAGAGCAACAGTCTCTAAGGTAAACTCTAACCTGTCACTGTCTAACATTCTAAGAGCAACAGTCTATAAGGTAAACTCTAACCTGTCACTGTCTATCACAGTGAGCAACAGTCTCTAAGGTAAACTCTAACCTGTCACTGTCTAACATTCTAAGAGCAACAGTCTCTAAGGTAAACTCTAACCTGTCACTGTCTAACACAGTGAGCAACAGTCTCTAAGGTAAACTCTAACCTGTCACTGTCTAACATTCTAAGAGCAACAGTCTCTAAGGTAAACTCTAACCTGTCACTGTCTAACACAGTGAGCAACAGTCTCTAAGGTAAACTCTAACCTGTCACTGTCTAACATTCTAAGAGCAACAGTCTCTAAGGTCAACTCTAACCTGTCACTGTCTAACACAGTGAGCAACAGTCTCTAAGGTAAACTCTAACCTGTCACTGTCTAACATTCTAAGAGCAACAGTCTCTAAGGTAAACTCTAACCTGTCACTGTCTAACATTCTAAGAGCAACAGTCTCTAAGGTAAACTCTAACCTGTCACTGTCTAACATTCTAAGAGCAACAGTCTCTAAGGTCAACTCTAACCTGTCACTGTCTAACACAGTGAGCAACAGTCTCTAAGGTAAACTCTAACCTGTCACTGTCTAACATTCTAAGAGCAACAGTCTCTAAGGTCAACTCTAACCTGTCACTGTCTAACACAGTGAGCAACAGTCTCTAAGGTAAACTCTAACCTGTCACTGTCTAACATTCTAAGAGCAACAGTCTCTAAGGTAAACTCTAACCTGTCACTGTCTAACATTCTAAGAGCAACAGTCTCTAAGGTAAACTCTAACCTGTCACTGTCTAACATTCTAAGAGCAACAGTCTCTAAGGTAAACTCTAACCTGTCACTGTCTAACATTCTAAGAGCAACAGTCTCTAAGGTCAACTCTAACCTGTCACTGTCTAACACAGTGAGCAACAGTCTCTAAGGTAAACTCTAACCTGTCACTGTCTAACATTCTAAGAGCAACAGTCTCTAAGGTAAACTCTAACCTGTCACTGTCTAACATTCTAAGATCAACAGTCTCTAAGGTCAACTCTAACCTGTCACTGTCTAACACAGTGAGCAACAGTCTCTAAGGTAAACTCTAACCTGTCACTGTCTAACATTCTAAGAGCAACAGTCTCTAAGGTAAACTCTAACCTGTCACTGTCTAACATTCTAAGAGCAACAGTCTCTAAGGTAAACTCTAACCTGTCACTGTCTAACATTCTAAGAGCAACAGTCTCTAAGGTAAACTCTAACCTGTCACTGTCTAACATTCTAAGAGCAACAGTCTCTAAGGTAAACTCTAACCTGTCACTGTCTAACATTCTAAGAGCAACAGTCTCTAAGGTCAACTCTAACCTGTCACTGTCTAACATTCTAAGAGCAACAGTCTCTAAGGTCAACTCTAACCTGTCACTGTCTAACATTCTAAGAGCAACAGTCTCTAAGGTCAACTCTAACCTGTCACTGTCTAACACAGTGAGCAACAGTCTCTAAGGTAAACTCTAACCTGTCACTGTCTAACATTCTAAGAGCAACAGTCTCTAAGGTAAACTCTAACCTGTCACTGTCTAACATTCTAAGAGCAACAGTCTCTAAGGTAAACTCTAACCTGTCACTGTCTAACATTCTAAGAGCAACAGTCTCTAAGGTAAACTCTAACCTGTCACTGTCTAACATTCTAAGAGCAACAGTCTCTAAGGTCAACTCTAACCTGTCACTGTCTAACACAGTGAGCAACAGCCTCTAAGGTAAACTCTAACCTGTCACTGTCTAACACAGTGAGCAACAGCCTCTAAGGTAAACTCTAACCTGTCACTGTCTAACACAGTGAGCAACAGCCTCTAAGGTAAACTCTAACCTGTCACTGTCTAACACAGTGAGCAACAGTCTCTAAGGTAAACTCTAACCTGTCACTGTCTAACATTCTAAGAGCAACAGTCTCTAAGGTAAACTCTAACCTGTCACTGTCTAACATTCTAAGAGCAACAGTCTCTAAGGTAAACTCTAACCTGTCACTGTCTAACATTCTAAGAGCAACAGTCTCTAAGGTAAACTCTAACCTGTCACTGTCTAACATTCTAAGAGCAACAGTCTCTAAGGTAAACTCTAACCTGTCACTGTCTATCACAGTGAGTGAGTGGATGAATTCAACCAGACAACTTGCTGTTCTCCTCACCAAATAAAAGCCAACTAATGGCTCTGCTTTATCCTAAGTAATGGATGATGGTTGTTGGTATTCGGTACATTGTGTCGTTTATTAAATGCTGTTTGTGGCTCTAGGGAGGAGGATGAGGATACTTAACCACAGAGATCTACACTAAGACTATTAGTTAAGATAAGACATTCATTCTCCTTGATGACTATTAGTCAGGACATGCCACTCTCTGACCTTACAGTGACGTATGCAGTGAAAGAGTCACTAATGGTCTGTACTTCTATAACTAGGACATTGTAACAGTTGGAAACCGGCAGGTTGTAGTTATCAAATCCTAGACCGTGAGACCGTATAGTTTTCAAATCCTAGACTGTGAGCAGTTTAGGCACTTAACCCCTAAATTGCTCCAGCGGTAGAGGGTGATCCACCCTACCTGAGCCCAGGCCTTCCGCCAGCGTTCAGGACTGTGATTATAATAATGAGGTGACAGGTGAAAGGTCATAGTGTGTGATAGGTGATAGAGTAGCAGATTGTGATTGTTCCTACCTGAGCCCAGGCCTTCCTCCAGCGTTCAGGACTGTGGTGGCTGTACTCCTGCTGAGCCCAGGTAGAGCAGCTCAGGTGAGACACATCGCAGTATGCTGTGCCCCGCCCACCCATCTCAGAGTCCATCTTGAAGAGCCAGCGCCTCACCTCCATGTGGTCTGTCATCAGCTGGGCCAGGGTTTCATGGAGCTGGGGAGAGAGGAGAGAGGAGAGAGAGAGAAAGAGAGAGAGATTTGTATTTATTAAGGATCCCCATTAGCTGCTGCCAATTTAAAATATTACATGACATTATATTTCATAACACTTTACCCAATACATTTAGTGTGTTCCCTCAGGCCACTACTCCACTATCAAATATTTACAATACAATATCCATGTGTACGTGTGTGTAGAGTGAGTGTCTTATCATGTGTATGTGAGTCTGTGCCTGTGTGTGTCTCTTCACAGTCCCCGCTGTTCCATAATGTGTATTTTTATCTGTTTTTTTTTAAATCTAATTTTACTGCTCGCATGAGTTACCTGATGTGGAATAGAGTTCTGTGTAGTCACGGCTCTATGTAGTACTGTGCACCTCCCAGAGTCTGTTCTTGGGGATTGTGAAGAGACCTTTGATGGCATGTCTTGTGGGGTATGCATGGGTGTCCGAGCTGTGTGCTAGTAGTTTAAAACAGACACCTCGGTGCATTCAGCATGTCAACACTTCTTACAAAAACAAGTAGTGATGAAGTCAATCTCTTCTCCATTTTGAACCATGAGAGACTGACATGCATATAATTAATGTTAGCTCTCTGTGTACATCCAAGGGCCAGCCGTGCTGCCCTGTTCTGAGCCAATTGCAATTTTCCTAAGTCCCTCTTTGTGGCACCTGACCACACGACTGAACAGTAGTCCAGGTGCGACAAAACTAGGGCCTGTAGGACCTGCCTTGCTGATAGTGTTGTTAAAAAGGCAGAGCAGTGATTTATTATGGACAGACTTCTCCCCATCCTAGCTACTGTTGTATCAATATGTTTTGACCATGACAGTTTACAATCCAGGGTTACTCCAAGCAGTTTAGTCTCCTCAACTTGCACAAATTCCACATTTTTATTACAATATTTAGTTGAGGTTTAGGGTTTAGTGAATGATTTTTCCCAAATACAATGCTTTTAGTTTAAAATATTTAGGACTAACTTATTCCTTGCCACCCATTCTGAAACTAACTGCAGCTCTTTGTTAAGTGTTGCAGTGATTTCACTCCCTGTGGTAGCTGACGTGTATAGTGTTGAGTCATCTGCATACATAGACACACTAGCATGTCGTTAGTAAAGATTGAAAAAAGTAAAGGGGCCTAGACAGCTGCCCTGGGGAATTCCTGATTCTACCTGGATTATTACGTTTGCAACCCTCCAGGCCTGAGGGCACACACTTTCTAGTAGGCTTAGATTGAAGATATGGCAAATAGGAGTGGCAATATCGTCTGCTATTATCCTCAGTAATTTTCCATCCAAGTTTTCAGACACCGGTGGCTTGTTATTGTTGATAGACAAAAAAATTTGTTTCACTTCTTCCACACTCACTTTATGGAATTCTAAAATACAATACTTGTCTTTCATAATTTGATCAGTTATACTTGGATGTGTAGTGTCAGCGTTTGTTGCTCCCATGTCATGCCCAAGTTTGCTAATCTTGCCAATGAAAAACTCATTAAAGTAGTTGGCAATCTCAGTGGGTTTTGTGATGAATGAGCCATCTGATTCAATGAGTGATGGAGCTGAGTTTGCCTTTTTGCCCAACATTTAATTTATGGTGCTCCAAAGCTTTTTACTATCATTCTTTATGTCATTTATCTTAGTTTCATAATGTTCTTTTTATTCAGTTTAGTCGCATGATTTCACAATTTGCAGTACGTTTGCCAATCGGTTGTGCTGCCAGACTTATTTGCCATTCCTTTTGCCTCATCCCTCTCAACCATACCATTTTTCAATTCCTCATCAATCCACGGGGATTTAACCGTTTTTACAGTCATTTTCTTAATGGGTGCATGCTTATTAGTAACTGGAATAAGCAATTTCATAAATGTGTCAAGTGCAGCGTCTGGTTGCTCCTCATTACACACCACGGACCAACAAATATTCTTAACATAAATAACATAGGAATCACTACAAACTTATTGTATGACCTCTTATACACTATATTAGGCTCTGCCTTTGAAACGTTGGTTTTCCTAGATATGGCTACTATATTGTGATCACTACATCCGATGGATTTGGATACTGCTTTAAAGCAAATTTCTGCAGCATCAGTAAAGATGTGATCAATACATGTTGGTGCTGTTTGTAACTACCCTGGTAGGTTGATTGATAACCTGAACCAGGTTGCAGGCACTAGTTACAGTTTGAAGCTTTTTCTTGAGTGGGCAGCTTGATGTAAATATTTAAATCACCCAGAAAGTATATATCTCTATTGATATCACATACATTATCAAGCATTTCACACATGTTATCCAGATACTGACTGTTAGCACTTGGGGGTCTATAGCAGCTTCCCACCAGAATGGGCTTTAGGTGAGGCAGATGAACCTGTAGCCATATTACTTCAACAGTATTTAACATGAGATCCTCTATAATGTAGCTCAGTTGGTAGAGCATGGTGTTTGCAACGCCAGGGTTGTGGGTTCGATTCCCACGGGGGGCCAGTATGAAAAAAAAGTTTAAAAAAGTAAAAAATAAAAAAGTAAAAAAATAATGTATGCACTCACTAACTGTAAGTCGCTCTGGATAAGAGCGTCTGCTAAAATGACTAAAATGTAAAATGTATAAGCTTTACATGAATGTGGTTCTGAACATCAACAGCAACACCTCCACCATTGGCATTTCTGTATTTTCTGTAGATCTTATAACCATGTATTGCTACCACTGTATCATCAAAGGTATTATCTAAGGGAGTTTCAGAGATTGTCAGAATATGAATGTCATCTGTTATTAGCAAATTACTGATTTCATTAACCTTGTTTCTTAAGCTACATATGTTAACGTGGGCTATTTTTCACACTTTTCCGGGATGCTTGATTCTTTTCATTGCTTTACTGGGATCGAACCACTTCTGGGAAAATTGGAACACACAAAAAAAACGGAGATATGGATAAACCACTTCTCCAATCTTTTTGGCCCTATAACAAAGAACAAACAGCAAAAATATATACATGATCAATTACAACACTTTGAATCAGCTATTAAAGACTACCACTGGATTCTCCAATTACATTGAATGAACTACAGGACAAAATACAAACCCTCCAACCCAAAAAGGCCTGTGGTGTTGATGGTATCCTAAGTGAAAAAATCAAATATCCAGACCACAAATTCCAATTGGCTATAATTAAACTCTTTAACATCATCCTTAGCTCTGGCATCTTCCCCAATATTTGGAACCAAGGACTGATCACCCCAATCCACAAAAGTGGAGACAAATTTGACCCCAATAACTACCGTGGGATATGCGTCAACAGCAACCTTGGGAACATCCTCTGCATTATCATTAACAGCAGACTAGTTCATTTCCTCAGTGAAAACAATGTACTGAGCAAATGTCAAATTGTCTTTCTACCAATTTACAGTACGACAGACCACGTATTCACCCTGCACACCCTAACTGAAAAACAAACAAACCAAAACAAAGGCAAAGTCTTCTCATGCTTTGTTGATTTCAAAAAAGCTTTTGACTCAATTTGGCATGAGGGTCTGCTATACAAATTGATGGAAAGTGGGGTTGGGGGAAAAACATACGACATTATAAAAGGCCTACTAGAATCTGAAGTCAAATGTCTACTGTTTGCTGATGATCTGGTGCTGCTGACCCCAACCAAGGAGGGCCTACAGCAGCACCTACAGTGAGGGAAAAAAGTATTTGATCCCCTGATGATTTTGTACGTTTGCCCACTGACAAAGAAATGATCAGTCTATAATTTTTATGGTAGGTTTATTTGAACAGTGAGAGACAGAATAACAACAAAAAAATCCAGAAAAACGCATGTCAAAAATGTTATAAATTGATTTGCATTTTAATGAGGGAAATAAGTATTTGACCCCCTCTCAATCAGAAAGATTTCTGGCTCCCAGGTGTCTTTTATACAGGTAACGAGCTGAGATTAGGAGCACACTCTTAAAGGGAGTGCTCCTAATCTCAGTTTGTTACCTGTATAAAAGACACCTGTCCACAGAAGCAATCAATCAATCAAATTCCAAACTCTCCACCATGGCCATGACCAAAGAGCTCTCCAAGGATGTCAGGGACAAGATTGTAGACCTACACAAGGCTGGAATGGGCTACAAGACCATCGCCAAGCAGCTTGGTGAGAAGGTGACAACAGTTGGTGTGATTATTCGTAAATGGAAGAAACACAAAAGAACTGTCAATCTCCCTCGGCCTGGGGCTCCATGCAAGATCTCACCTCGTGGAGTTGAGAACGGTGAGGAATCAGCCCAGAACTACACGGAAGGATCTTGTCAATGATCTCAAGGCAGCTGAGACCATAGTCACCAAGAAAACAATTGGTAACACACTAAGCCGTGAAGGACTGAAATCCTGCAGCGCCCGCAAGGTCCCCCTGCTCAAGAAAGCACATATACAGGCCCGTCTGAAGTTTGCCAATGAACATCTGAATGATTCAGAGGAGTACTGAGTGAAAGTGTTGTGGTCAGATGAGACCAAAATCGAGCTCTTTGGCATCAACTCAACTCTCCATGTTTGGAGGAGGAGGAATGCTGCCTATGACCCCAAGAACACCATCCCCACCGTCAAACATGGAGGTGGAAACATTATGCTTTGGGGGTGTTTTTCTGCTAAGGGGACAGGACAACTTCACCGCATCAAAGGGACGATGGACTGGGCCCTGTACCGTCAAATCTTGGGTGAGAACCTCCTTCCCTCAGCCAGGGCATTGAAAATGGGTCGTGGATGGTTATTCCAGCATGACAATGACCCAAAACACACGGCCAAGGCAACAAAGGAATGGCTCTAGAAGCAGCACATTAAGGTCCTGGAGTGGCCTAGCCAGTCTCCAGACCTTAATCCCATAGAAAATCTGTGGAGGGAGCTGAAGGTTCGAGTTGCCAAACGTCAGCCTCGAAACCTTAATGACTTGGAAAAGATCTGCAAAGAGGAGTGGAACAAAATCCCTCCTGAGATGTGTGCAAACCTGGTGGCCAACTACAAGAAACGTCTGACCTCTGTGATTGCCAACAAGGGTTTTGCCACCAAGTACTAAGTCATGTTTTGCAGAGGGGTCAAATACTTAAAATGAAAATCAATTCATAACATTTTTGACATGCGTTTTTCTGGATTTTTGTTGTTGTTATTCTGTCTCTCACTGTTCAAATAAACCTACCATTAAAATTATAGACTGATCATGTCTTTGTCAGTGGGCAAACGTACAAAATCAGCAGGGGATCAAATACTTTTTTCCCTCACTGTAGATCTTCTGCACAGATTCTGTCAGACCTGGGCCCTGACAGTAAATCTCAGTAAGACAAAAATAATGGTGTTCCAAAAAAGGTCCAGTTGCCAGGACCACAAATACAAATTCCATCTAGACACCGTTGCCCTAGAGCACACAAAAAACTATACCTACCTCGGCCTAAACATCAGCGCCACAGGTAACTTCCACAAAGCTGTGAACGATCTGAGAGACAAGGCAAGAAGGGCCTTCTACGCCATCAAAAGGAACATAAAATTCGACATCCCAATTAGGATCTGGCTAAAAATACTTGAATCAGTTATATAACCCATTGCCCTTTATGGTTGTGAGGTATGGGGTCCGCTCACCAACCAAGAATTCACAAAATGGGACAAACACAAAATTGAGACTGCATGCAGAATTCTGCAAAAACATCCTCAGTGTACAACGTAAAACACCAAATAATGCATGCAGAGCAGAATTAGGACAAAACCCGCTAATTATCAAAATACAGAATAAAGCCGTTAAATTCTACAACCACCTAAAAGGAAGCGATTCCCAAACCTTCCATAACAAAGCCATCACCTACAGAGAGATTAACCTGGAGAAGAGTCCCCTAAGCAAGCTGGTCCTGGGGCTCTGTTCACAAACACAAACAGACCCCACAGAGCCCCAGGACAACAACACAATTAGACCCAACCAAATCATGAGAAAACTAAAAGAGAATTACTTTAAACATTGGAAAGAATTAAACAAAAACAGAGCAAACTGGAATGCTATCTGGCCCTAAACAGAGAGTACACAGTGGCAGAATATCTGACCACTGTGACTGACCCAAATTAAGAGAAATCTTTGACTATGTACAGACTCAGTGAGCATAGCCTTGCTATTGAGAGAGACCGCCGTAGGAAGACCTGTCTCTCAAGAGAAGACAGGCTATGTGCACACTTCCCACAAAATGAGGTGGAAACTGAGCTGCACTTCCTAACCTCCTGCCAAATGTATGACCATATTAGAGACACATATTTTCCTCAGATTACACAGACCCACAAAGAATTCAAATTTTTTTTCTTCCAATTTTGATAAACTCCCATATCTATTAGGTGAAATACCACAGTGTGCCATCACAGCAGCAAGATTTGTGACCTGTTGCCACAAGAAAAGGGCAACCAGTGAAGAACAAACACCATAGTAAATACAATTTATTTGTAAATATTTGTAGATAGTTGCACATGGTTACAACACTGTACATAGTCATAATATGACATTTGAAATGTCTCTATTGTTTTGAAACTTTTGTGAGTTCAATGTTTACTGTTCATTTTTGATTGTTTATTTAACTTTTGTTTATTATCTATTTCGCTTGCTTTGGTAATGTTAACATATGTTTCCCATGCCAATAAAGCCCTTTGAATGTAATTAGAGAGAGGCAGACAGAGAGAGAGAGGCAGACAGAGAGAGAGAGAGAGAGAGAGAGAGAGAGAGAGAGAGAGAGAGAGAGAGACAGAAAGAGAGAGAGAGAGAGAGAGAGAGAGAGAGAGAGAGAGAGAGAGAGAGAGAGAGAGAGAGAGAGAGAGAGAGAGAGAGAGAGAGAGAGAGAGAGAGAGAAGAATACCTGTTGTAAGGAGTATATGTCCCACTGCCCTGGGGGCACGGTGACCCCTGCGCCAGTAAAGATCCTCCTGCCTCCAGACTTGGTGCTGTAGAGCTGGGCCACAGCAGGCTCTGGCCCCAGGAGGGGAACCCCCAGCTCATCCGCCACCGCCAGGTCATCTAAGTGGGTAACACCACCCACCATGAAGGCCTGCTGGCCCTGGATCAGGTTACGGATGCGTCGCAGGGTCCGAGGGCTGTACTTCAACAACGTGGACAGACACATGTTGTGGGTCTAGATGAGAGGAGAGGAAGAGGAAGAAGTCTATTTGTCTTGTGACCGGCAGCCCTCTGGATACTGGCCTTCCTCTCTAACCTCTCCAGACAGGTACATGCAGGGATGGAATTTAACGATTATGGCCACTGGCTAACCAACCTGAGCCACGCTAGTAGGTCACATTTTTGTTTTACTAAAGTTTTTACTAAGTTCTACTTTTTTGTAGTTTCCTACTAGGTCCTTCCCAACAATGCAAAGAGAAAAAATAATAACACAAGGAGTAAACCAACCAGTTAGTGAGTGCATAATTATTTTTATACATAACGACCATCCCAATCCCAAATTTTCCTTCCTCATGATGCAATCTATTTTGTGAAGAACACCATCCCAACCGTGAAGCACGGGGGTGGCAGCATCATGCTGTGGGGGTGCTTTGCTGCAGGAGGGACTGGTGCACTTCACAAAATAGATTGCATCATGAGGAAGGAAAATTATGTGGATATATTGAAGCAACATCTCAAGACATCAGTCAGGAAGTTAATGCTTGGTTGCAAATGGGTCTTCCAAATGGACAATGACCCAAAGCATACTTCCAAAGTTGTGGCAAAATGGCTTAAGGACAACAAAGTCAAGGTATTGAGGTGGCCATCACAAAGCCCTGACCTCAATCCTATAGAAAATGTGTGGGCAGAACTGAAAAAGCGTGTGCGAGCAAGGAGGCCTACAAACCGGACTCCGTTACACCAGCTCTGTCAGGAGGAATGGGACAAAATTCACCCAACTTATTGTGGGAAGCTCGTGGAAGGCTACTCGAAACGTTTGACCCAAGTTAAACAATTTAAAAAGGCAATGCTACCAAATACTAATTCAGTGTATGTAAACTTCTGACCCACTGGGAATGTGATGAAAGAAATAAAAGCTGAAATAAATAATTCTCTCTATTATTATTCTGACATTTCACATTCTTAAAATAAAGTGGTGATCCTAACTGACCTAAGACAGGCAATTTTTACTAGGATTAAATGTCAGGAATTGTGAAAAACTGAGTTTAAATGCATTTGGCTAAGGTGTATGTAAACTTCCGATTTCAACTGTAGGTAGGGATAAAGTGACTAGGCAACAGGATAGATAATAAACAGTAACAGCAGCTATTGGTTAACTATTTAACTAACTACAGTATGTTTAGTAGTCTTATGGCTTGGGGTTGCAGCTGTTCAGGGTCCTGTTGGTTCCAGACTTGGTGCATCGGTACTGCTTGCCATGGGGTAACAGAGAGAACAGTCTATGACTTGGGTGGCTGGAGTCTATGACCATTTTTAGGGCCTTCCTCTGACACCGCCTGGTATAGAGGTCCTGGATGGCAGGGAGCTCAGCCCCAGTGATGTACTGGGCTGTACGCACTACCCTCTGTAGCACCTTTCTGTCGAATGCCAAGAAGTTGCCATACCAATTTGTGAAGCAGCCAGTCAATATGCTTTCAATGGTGCAGCTGTAAAACCTTTTGAGGTTCTGAGGGCCCCTGCCAATTTTTTTCAGCCTCCTGAGGAGGAAGAGGTGTTGTCGTGCCCTCGTCACAACTATGTTGGTGTGTTTGGACCATGATCGATCCTTAGTGATGTGGACACCGAGGAACTTGAAGCCCTCGACCTGCTCCTCTACAGCCCCTCCATTTCCTGTAGTCCACGATCAGCTCCTTTGTCTTGTTGACGTTGAAGGAGAGGTTGTTGTCCTGGCACCACCCTGCCAGGTCTCTGACCTCCTTTCTGTAGGCTTTCTCATCGTCGTCTGTGATCAGGCCTACCATCTTCGTGTCGTCTGAAAACTTAATGATTATGTCGGAGTCATGCGCGGCCACGCAGTCGTGGGGGAACAGGGAGTACAGGAGGGGACTACGCACGCACCCCTGAGGGGTCCCCGTGTTGAGGGTCAGTTTGGCTGTTTTGTTGCCTACCCTTATCACCTGGGGGCGGCCCGTCAGGAAGTCCAGGATCCAGTTGCAGAGGGAGGTGTTTAATCCCAGGGTCCTTAGTTTAGTGAAGAGCTTGGAGAGCACTATAGTGTTGAATGCTGAGCTGTGGACAATGAACAGCATTCTCACATAGGTGTTCATTTTGTCCAGGTGGGAAAGGGCAGTGTAGAGTGCAATAAAGATTGCGTCATCTGTGGATCTGTTGGGGCGGAATGCAAATTGGAGTCGGTCTAGGTTTTCTGGGATGATGGTGTTGATGTGAGCCATGACCAGCCTGTCAAAGCATTTCATAGCTACAGATGTGAGTGCTATGGGGCGATAATAATTTAGACAGGTTACCTGGAGTTCTTGGGTACAGGGACTATGGTGGTCTGCTTGAAACATGTAGGTATTACAAACTGGGTCAGAGAGAGTTAGAAAATGTCAGTGAAGACACTTGCCAGTTGGTCAGACCATGCTCTGAGTACACATCCTGGTAATCCGTCTGTCCTGCGGCCTTTTGAATGTTAACCTGTTTAAAGGTCTGACTCACGTCGGCTACGGAAAGCGTGATCTCACAGTCGTCCGGAACAGCTGGTGCTCTCATGCATTGGTTCAGTGTTGCTTGCCTAGCATAGAAGGTATTTAGCTCTTCTGGTAGGCTCATGTCACTGGACAGCTCGTGGCTGGGTTTCCCTTTGTAATCTGTAATAGTTTGCAAGCCCTGCCACATCCAACGAGCGTCAGAGCCGGTGTAGTAGGATTTGATCTTGGTACTGTATTGATAATTGGGCGGCAGGTAGCTTAGTGGTTAAGAGCGTTGTGCCAGTAACCGAAAGGTCGCTGGTTCTAATCCCCGAGCCGACTAGGTGAAAAATCTGTCGATGTGCCCTTGAGCAAGGCACTTAACCCTAATTGCTCATGTAAGTCGCTCTGGATAAGAGCGTCTGCTAAATGACTAAAATGTAAATGTAATACTTTTCCTGTTTGATGGTTCGTCTTATAAGTGTCCGGATTAGTGTCCCGCTCCTTGAAAGTGGCAGCTCTAGTCTTTAGCTCAATGCGGATGTTGCCTGTAATCCATGGTTTCTGGTCGGGATATGTACGCACGGCCACTGTGGGGATGACGTCGTCAATGCACTTATTAATGAAGCCGGTGACTGATGTGATAAACTCCTCAATGCCATCGGATGAATCCCAGAACATACAGTATTCGAGTCTGTGCTAGCGGAACAGTCCTGTAGCTTAGCATCCTCTCCCTCTGACCACTTCCGGCTTGAGCGCGTCACTGGTACTTCCTGTTTGAGTTTTTGCTTGTAAGCAGTAGGATAGAGTTATGTTCAGATTAAACCAAAAGGAGGTTGAGGGAGAGCTTTGTATGCGTCTCTGTGTGTGGAGTAAAGGTGAGTTTTTTTGCCTCTAGTTGCACAGGTGACATGCTGGTTGAAATTAGGTAAAAAAAGATTTCAGTTTTCCTGCATTAAAGTCACCGGCCACTAGGACTGAGTGAGCATTTTCAGACCCCGGACCTGGAGAGGTGCTGACGTCTGGGCCTGGATCGGCAATCCCTCCACAATGCACCAAGCCCTGTCTGGACCCTGGTGTGGGAGACCCCGAACCTGGAGAGGGGCTGACGTCTGGGCCTGGATCGGCAATCCCCCTGCGATGCACCAAGCCCTGTCTGGACCCTGGTGCGTGATGCACCAAGCCCTGTCTGGACCCTGGTGTGGGAGACCACGACCCTGGAGAGGGGCTGACGTCTGGACCCAGAGTAGAGCCGCTGACCGGAGCTGAACTGGGTCCCGGTGGAGCGGACTGCTCTGGCTCCGGAATGGAGCCGCTGACCGGAGCTGGATCAGGCACCGGTGGAGCGGATTGCTCTGGCTCTGGAGTGGAGCAGCTGACCGGAGCTGGACTGGACCCCGGTGGAGCGGAATGCTCTGACTCTGGAGTGGAGCCGCTGACTGGAGCTGGACTGGGCACCGGTGACCGGAGCTGGACTGGGCACCGGTGGAGCAGACTGCTCTGGCTCCGGAGTGGAGCAGCTGACCGGAGCTGGACTAGGCACCGGTGGAGCGGACTGCTCTGGCTCCGGAGTGGAACCGCTGACCGGAGCTGGATCAGGTACCGGTGGAGCGGATTTCTCTGGCTCCGGAATGGAGCCGCTGACCGGAGCTGGACTGGTACCGGTGGAACGGGCCGGGCCGGCCTGGGGACACGCACCACTGGTCTGGTGCGAGGAGCAGGAACGGGCCGAGCCGGACTGGAGACACGCACCACAGGTCTGGTGCGAGGAGCAGGAACGGGCCGGGCCGGCCTGGGGACACGCACCACAGGTCTGGTGCGAGGAGCAGGCACGGGCCGGGCCGGACTGGGAACACGCACCACTGGTCTGGTGCGAGGTCTGGTGCGAGGAGCTGGCACGGGCCGGGCCGGACTGGGAACACGCACCACTGGTCTGGTGCGAGGTCTGGTGCGAGGAGCAGGCACGTGCCGTACTGGACTGGGAACACGCACCCCTGGTCTGGTGCGAGGTCTGGTGCGAGGAGCAGGCACGGGCCGGGCCGGACTGGGAAAACGCACCACTGGTCTGGTGCGAGGAGCAGGCACGGGCCGTACTGGACTGGTGAGGCGCACTGGTGACACAGTGCGTAGAACCGGAGCAGGATATACTGGACCGTGGAGGCGTACTGGAGGTCTGGAGTGTACAGCTGGCACAACCCGTCCTGGCTGGATGCCCACTTTCGCACGGCACGTGCGGGGCGCTGGCACAGGACGCACTGGGCTGTGAATGCGCACTGGCGACACAGTGCGTATCTCCGCATACCTAGGTTCCTCTATGAACACACGCTCCTTCTGTTGCCTGACCAGCTCCTCTCTCCGTGACTCCACTACTTCCTTCTCCCTTTGAGCCTCCTGTAGCGCCTCCCTCTGAACGGATAACTCCTGCTCCCTCTGATCTAACAGCCCCCGTAACGTGGTGGCCTACTCTCTCAGACTCTCGATCCGCAGGTCTTGGAGGACCTCTAGAATAGCGGCCTCCTCCTCTCTAGTCAGCCCTTTCCCGGCCTCCTGCTGCCTCGTCGTCCACCCCGTGAGCCCCCCCCCCCTAAAATTTTCTTGGGGCTGCTTCTCGGGCTTCCAATTCGGCCGGCTTCGTTGATGTCGCCGTTGATCTTCTCCTACCCGGGCTTCCTCCTTCATTGCCTTACCGTAACGGACGGCCTCCTCCTCTGTGATTTTCCCCCCAACCGAGGAGGACATCTACCAACGTAGCCTCCCGCTGTGTCCCGGGTGTTTGCTCCTCCTGGCCACGCTGCTTGGTCCTCGTTTGGTGGGATCTTCTGTCACGAACGTTGAGAGACGGGTCGGACCAAGGTGCAGCGTGAAAAGTGTACATGTTGATTACTCAATAAACATACAACAAAACAAGAAACAAAGTCCAGACTGACAGGAACAAGATCCCACAATACACAGTAGGCAATGGGCTACCTAAGGATGATCCCCAATCAGAGACAACGGGAGACAGCTGTCTCTGATTGGGAACCGCACCCGGCCAAACATAGAAACACACAACCTAGCACTGCAACATAGAAATAGACTAACTAGAACATAGAATATATAACATAGAAACTCACGCCCTGACCAAACCAACTAAAGACAACAGGCCTCTCAAGGCCAGGGCGTGACAATGAGAGAGGTGCCTTAATCGATGTGATCGGTGCCCGGGGAGCAGTTGTTGGGGATTAACTGCCTTGCTCAAGGGAAGAACAGCAGTTTTTTCCCCCCACCATGCCAGCTCTGGGATTTGAACCAGCGACCTTTCGGTTACTGCCCCCACCCACCCTCTTAACCGCTAGGCTACCTGCCGCCCCACTATGAGTTATTCTTACTCAGGCGAGCAGAACCTCAAGACTTTCTTAATATTAGTACCAGCTGTTGTTAACAAAGAGACACACACCCCCTCCCCTGAGCTTCCTCGACGCCACCGTTCTGTCCAGCAAGATTTATATTTACCATGTCCTCGTTCAGCCACGACTCTGAAAAACATAGGATATTACAGTTCTTCAGATCACGTTGATAGGATCGTCTCAAACGGAGCTCCTCCACTTCATTCAATAGTGATTGCACATTGGCCAATAGAACGGAGGGTAGAGGAAGTAGCTAACTGTGGTGGTCCCGGCCCCTTCTCCCCATAACAGAACGGAGGGTAGAGGAAGTAGCTAACTGTGGTGGTCCCGGCTCCTTCTCCCCCTAACAGAACGGAGGGTAGAGGAAGTAGCTAACTGTGGTGTCCCGGCCCCTTCTCCCCCTAACAGAACGGAGGGTAGAGGAAGTAGCTAACTGTGGTGGTCCCCGGCCCATTCTCCCCCTAACAGAACGGAGGGTAGAGGAAGTAGCTAACTGTGGTGCCCCCCGGCCCCTTCTCCCCCTAACAGAACGGAGGGTAGAGGAAGTAGCTAACTGTGGTGGTCCCCGGCCACTTCTCCCCCTAACAGAACGGAGGGTAGAGGAAGTAGCTAACTGTGGTGGTCCCGGCCCCTTCTCCCCCTAACAGAACGGAGGGTAGAGGAAGTAGCTAACTGTGGTGCCCCCCGGCCCTTCTCCCCCTAACAGAACGGAGGGTAGAGGAAGTAGCTAACTGTGGTGGTCCCCCGGCCCCTTCTCCCCCTAACAGAACGGAGGGTAGATGAAGTAGCTAACTGTGGTGCCCCCCGGCCCCTTCTCCCCCTAACAGAACGGAGGGTAGATGAAGTAGCTAACTGTGGTGCCCCCCGGCCCTTCTCCCACTAACAGAACGGAGGGTAGAGGAAGTAGCTAACTGTGGTGGTCCCGGCCCCTTCTCCCCCTAACAGAACGGAGGGTAGAGGAAGTAGCTAACTGTGGTGGTCCAGGCCCCTTCTCCCCCCATAACATTGTAACATCAGTGATTAATTAGCAGCATCAATTAAGTCAGTTTGAATTAACCTTTAAACTAGAACAGAAATTCAAAATTCCCATTAAAAATGTTCTTTAATTATTCATTGGACAGAACTAGTAGAACGAGGAAACCATGAAATAATACTGTTAAATTAATTATGAATACATTAGTATCCGTTCAGTTATAATATGTTTACCTTATTTATTATCCTAAATGTCTTAATATGAAACTCATTAGAAGGTAATAGAAATGCCGGATGCAGATTAATAAAATGCAACTGTTTCAGAGTGTACAGTACACTGCATCCTCCCATTATCCTCCCAGATCAGACCAAACTACACCTCCTCTGGCGCCCCCTAGGGGAGCATATTCAAACTGCACTTTTCAAATACACACACAAAGGAATGTTGCTCTCTCAGTCAACAACAGTTTGAGAGCACATTCTTCGGTCATGAAATAAAATCTCTGGTACAATTTTACATCTATAGGGAATGCATTACTTATTGAATTCAATAAATGTACAAATAAGCAAGAGAAAACATTTTGACAGGTGCACCCTTATTCTAGCCTCATTCCACCATCCTGACCGCTGCCTGATTCCACCATCCTGACCGCTGCCTGATTCACCATCCTGACCGCTGCTTGATTCACCATCCTGACCGCTGCCTGATTCCACCATCCTGACCGCTGCCTGATTCCACCATCCTGACCGCTGCCTGATTCCACCATCCTGACCGCTGCCTGATTCCACCATCCTGACCGCTGCCTGATTCCATCATCCTGACCGCTGCCTGATTCCACCATCCTGACCGCTGCACTCCTTTGGTTTCACTTCACTTCATAGCCAAACAGAATGTAAGCTTGCGAGAACAGGATGGTCGTGCGAGGCTACCCTTATTCTATAATGGATAAAATCTCTTTGGTACAATTATTAAATGTAGTCTATGTGTTATGTGTAAATGTGATGTGTGCCACAGCACCCGCTGAGTGTCCTTCTTACCGGGAAGTCTTCCAGCGCGTCAGGCATGAGGATGGTGAAGCGTTTGGTGCAGGAGGAGGCCTGGGTGGTGGTGGTCCTGGCCCCTCCTCCCCCTCTGTCCTCTGGACCTACTGTGGCCCTCTGGAGCCCTCCCTGGCCTCCCGGTTGCAAGCCCAGCAGTCTGGTGTAATATTGGAACAGGTCGTCTCCCAGACGCACAGGAGACACATAGATCACCTCCACGTTCTCATCTACACACAGGAGACACATAGATCACCTCCACACAGGAGACACATAGATCACCTCCACACAGGAGACACATAGATCACCTCCACGTTCTCATCTACACACAGGAGACACATAGATCACCTCCAAACAGGAGACACATAGATCACCTCCACACAGGAGACACATAGATCACCTCCACGTTCTCATCTACGCACAGGAGACACATAGATCACCTCCACGTTCTCATCTACACACAGGAGACACATAGATCACCTCCACACAGGAGACACATAGATCACCTCCACACAGGAGACACATAGATCACCTCCACACAGGAGACACATAGATCACCTCCACACAGGAGACACATAGATCACCTCCACGTTCTCATCTACACACAGGAGACACATAGATCACCTCCAAACAGGAGACACATAGATCACCTCCACACAGGAGACACATAGATCACCTCCACGTTCTCATCTACGCACAGGAGACACATAGATCACCTCCACGTTCTCATCTACACACAGGAGACACATAGATCACCTCCACACAGGAGACACATAGATCACCTCCACACAGGAGACACATAGATCACCTCCACGTTCTCATCTACACACAGGAGACACATAGATCACCTCCACGTTCTCATCTACACACAGAGACACATAGATCACCTCCACACAGGAGACACATAGATCACCTCCACACAGGAGACACATAGATCACCTCCACACAGAGACACACAGATCACCTCCACACAGAGACACACAGATCACCTCCACACAGAGACACATAGATCACCTCCACACAGAGACACACAGATCACCTCCACACAGAGACACACAGATCACCTCCACATTCTCATCTACACACAGGAGACACATAGATCACCTCCACGTTCTCATCTACACACAGGAGACACATAGATCACCTCCACGTTCTCATCTACACACAGGAGACACATAGATCACCTCCACACAGAGACACACAGATCACCTCCACACAGAGACACACAGATCACCTCCACACAGAGACACATAGATCACCTCCACGTTCTTATCTACACACAGAGACACACAGATCACCTCCACACAGAGACACACAGATCACCTCCAAAAAGAGACACACAGATCACCTCCACACAGAGACACACAGATCACCTCCACACAGAGACACATAGATCACCTCCACACAGAGACACATAGATCACCTCCACACAGAGACACATAGATCACCTCCACACAGAGACACATAGATCACCTCCACACAGGAGACACATAGATCACCTCCACGTTCTCATCTACACACAGGAGACACATAGATCACCTCCACGTTCTCATCTACACACAGGAGACACACAGATCACCTCCAAGTTCTCATCTACACACAGAGACACACAGATCACCTCCACGTTCTTATCTACACACAGAGACACACAGATCACCTCCACGTTCTTATCTACACACAGGAGACACACAGATCACCTCCACACAGAGACACACAGATCACCTCCACACAGAGACACACAGATCACCTCCACACAGAGACACATAGATCACCTCCACACAGAGACACACAGATCACCTCCACACAGAGACACATAGATCACCTCCACACAGAGACACATAGATCACCTCCACGTTCTCACCTCCACACAGAGACACATAGATCACCTCCACACAGAGACACATAGATCACCTCCACACAGAGACACACAGATCACCTCCAAACAGAGACACATAGATCACCTCCACACAGAGACACATAGATCACCTCCACATAGAGACACATAGACCACCTCCACACAGAGACACACAGATCACCTCCACACAGAGACACATAGATCACCTCCACGTTCTTATCTACACACAGAGACACATAGATCACCTCCACACAGAGACACATAGATCACCTCCACACAGAGACACACAGATCACCTCCACACAGAGACACATAGATCACCTCCACACAGAGACACATAGATCACCTCCACACAGAGACACACAGATCACCTCCACACAGAGACACATAGATCACCTCCACACAGAGACACATAGATCACCTCCACGTTCTCACCTCCACACAGAGACACATAGATCACCTCCACACAGAGACACATAGATCACCTCCACACAGAGACACACAGATCACCTCCAAACAGAGACACATAGATCACCTCCACACAGAGACACATAGATCACCTCCACATAGAGACACATAGACCACCTCCACACAGAGACACATAGATCACCTCCAAACAGAGACACATAGATCACCTCCACACAGAGACACATAGATCACCTCCACACAGAGACACATAGATCACCTCCACGTTCTTATCTACACACAGAGACACATAGATCACCTCCACACAGAGACACACAGATCACCTCCACACAGAGACACACAGATCACCTCCACACAGAGACACACAGATCACCTCCACACAGAGATCACCTCCACACAGAGACACATAGATCACCTCCACACAGAGACACACAGATCACCTCCACACAGAGACACACAGATCACCTCCACACAGAGACACATAGATCACCTCCACACAGAGACACACAGATCACCTCCACACAGAGACACACAGATCACCTCCACACAGAGACACATAGATCACCTCCATGTTCTTATCTACACACAGAGACACATCGATCACCTCCACAACTCAGATCACAGCAGAGCAGTGGAGATATCAGGGTTTACAGGAGCTGTGGGCCATCCTGTATGGCTCAGTTGGTAAGATCGTGCTGCTTGCAACAACATGGCTGTGGGTTCAATTCCCCTAGGGATCTAACACGTACATACTAATGCAAATGTATGCACTCACTGTGCGTCAAGTCACTTTGGATAAATGTGTCTTCTAAGTGGCATAGATGGAGACATGGTGTATAGACATGAGTGATTGTGTGTATAGCGTGAGTATTGAGATGGTGTGTTGTTGAATACAGTGTAAATACGGTGTATTCATAGGGCCCAGTGACATCACGTTTGCGTTCGATTTTGTTGTGTCCACCATCTTTAGGACCGCGGATTCTGACTAAGATGGGAAGTAACGCCAAGATCGCCCATCTAACTGCTCCTGAAAAAGATATCTTGAAAAGATTGGGTTGTGATCCATTTCTCGCTCCTAGCAAAGCTTTTCACGCCAATTAAATCAGCGAGAAATCCCTCCCCCTACACTGATGTACAGGGCCTTCAGAAAGTATTCACACCCCTTGACTTTTTCCACATTTTGTTGTGTTACAAAGTGGGATTAAAATAGATTGAATTGTAATATTTGGTCAACGATCTACACAAAATACTCTGTAATGTCAAAGTGGAAGAAAAATTCTAACATTTATGAAAAATAAAACAATAATATATCTTGATTAGATAAGTATTCACCCCCCTGAGACAATACATGTTAGAAACACCTTTGGCAGTGATTACAGCTGTGTCTTTTGGGGTAAATAGTTAAGAGCTTTGCACATCTGGATTGTACAATATTTGCCCATTATTATTTTTTAAATTCTTCAAGCTCTGTCAAATTGGTTGTTGATCTTTGCTAGGAAGCCATTTTTAAGTCTTGCCAGAGATTTTCAAGCAGATTTAAGTCAAAACTGTAACTAGGCCATTCAGGAACATTCAATGTCGTGTAGATTTGGCCTTGTGTTTTAGTTTATTGTCCTGCTGAAAGGCTCCCAGTGTCTGGTGGAAAGCAGACTGAACCAGGTTTTCCTCTAGTCTCCCAGTGTCTGGTGGAAAGCAGACTGAACCAGGTTTTCCTCTAGTCTCCCAGTGTCTGGTGGAAAGCAGACTGAACCAGGTTTTCCTCTAGTCTCCCAGTGTCTGGTGGAAAGCAGACTGAACCAGGTTTTCCTCTAGTCTCCCAGTGTCTGGTGGAAAGCAGACTGAACCAGGTTTTCCTCTAGTCTCCCAGTGTCTGGTGGAAAGCAGACTGAACCAGGTTTTCCTCTAGTCTCCCAGTGTCTGGTGGAAAGCAGACTGAACCAGGTTTTCCTACAGGACTCTGCCTGTGCTTAGCTCTATTCCGTTTATTTTTTATCCAGAAAAACTCCCTAGTCAATACCCATAACATAAGTGCCTTGTTGCAAAAATAATGCATGTTTTGAAATATTTTATATTCTGTACAAGCTTCCTTCTTTTCACTCTGTCATTTAGGTTAGTATTGTGGAGAAACTACAATGTGGTTGATCCATCCTCAGTTCTCATATCACAACCATTAAACTAACTGTTTGAAAATGACCATTGACCTCATGGTGAAATCCCTGAGTCATATATTTATTTATTTATTTTTTACCCATCTACCAATAGCTGCCCTTCTTTGTGAGGCATTGAAAAACCTCCCTGGTCTTTGTGCTTGAATCTGTGCTTGAAATTCACTACTCGATTGAGGGACTTTACAGATAAACTGTATGTGTGGGGTACAGAGATGGGTTAGTCATAAAAAAAAACAATGTTAACAACTATTATTGAACACAATGAGTCCATGCAACTTGTTAAGCATATTTTTACTCCTGAACTTATTTAGGCTTGGCATAACAAAGGGGTTGAATACTTAAGACATTTCAGCTTTTCATTTTTTATTAATTTCTAAAAACAAAAATTCCACTTCGGTATTGTATGTAGATCAGTGACACAAAATCTCAATGTAATCCATTTTAAAAATCAGGCTGTAAAACAACAAAATGTGGGAAAAGGGGTGTGAACACTTTCTGAAGGCGCTGTAGCTACCTAATCTGACATAAACAGCTAACAGCTTAACTTGTAGCTAGACATGCTGCCCCTAAATGAAGAGGTACTGTTATCAGAAATCAGTCTGTGGATCAGCTTGTTTCTCTGTGATTGGATCAGCTGTGGATCAGCTTGTTTCTCTGTGATTGGATCAGCTGTGGATCAGCTTGTTTCTCTGTGATTGGATCAGCTGTGGATCAGCTTGTTTCTCTGTGATTGGATCAGCTGTGGATCAGCTTGTTTCTCTGTGATTGGATCAGCTGTGGATCAGCTTGTTTCTCTGTGATTGGATCAGCTGTGGATCAGCTTGTTTCTCTGTGATTGGATCAGCTGTGGATCAGCTTGTTTCTCTGTGATTGGATCAGCTGTGGATCAGCTGACCGGAGGCTACTGCAGGCACTGACTTGCGGGAGTCACGGCAACAGCAGCTGCTTGAGCTAGCTAGGTAATGTTGGAGAAATCATGCTAGCTTTTGTGACATTGTCAAACTTCAGAAATACTGCTCATTGGTGCACAAAACAACTTAGCTAAATGTAAAATGGTACGACTAAAGGCGTCAGTATGCTTCAGTTCAGCTGGAGGCTAGCTGAAGTTGGCTAGGCCAACCAAACGAGTGTGCTGGAGGCTAGCTGAAGTCGGCTAGGCCAACCAAACGAGTGTGCTGGAGGCTAGCTGAAGTCGGCTAGGCCAACCAAACGAGTGTGCTGGAGGCTAGCTGAAGTCGGCTAGGCCAACCAAACGAGTGTGCTGGAGGCTAGCTGAAGTCGGCTAGGCCAACCAAACGAGTGTGCTGGAGGCTAGCTGAAGTCGGCTAGGCCAACCAAACGAGTGTGCTGGAGGTTAGCTGAAGTCGGCTAGGCCAACCAAACGAGTGTGCTGGAGGCTAGCTGAAGTCGGCTAGGCCAACCAAACGAGTGAGCTGGAGGCTAGCTGAAGTCGGCTAGGCCAACCAAACGAGTGTGCTGGAGGCTAGCTGAAGTTGGCTAGGCCAACCAAACGAGTGTGCTGGAGGCTAGCTGAAGTCGGCTAGGCCAACCAAACGAGTGTGCTGGAGGCTAGCTGAAGTCGGCTAGGCCAACCAAACGAGTGTGCTGGAGGCTAGCTGAAGTCGGCTAGGCCAACCAAACGAGTGTGCTGGAGGTTAGCTGAAGTCGGCTAGGCCAACCAAACGAGTGAGCTGGAGGCTAGCTGAAGTCGGCTAGGCCAACCAAACGAGTGTGCTGGAGGCTAGCTGAAGTTGGCTAGGCCAACCAAACGAGTGAGCTTGCATACTCCCTTAAAAGACCTTTGCTTGGAAAACGAGAAAAAGCAGCAATAGTACGGTTTGTCCATTTTGACACACCGTAGCCAGTTTACACTTCCTCAAAATAGATAACTCAAGAAATCTGCAATAAATGTTGACCTTTTTGCCTTAGTCGTACAATTTTACATCTAACTAAGATGTTTGGTGCAGTATTTCTCAATGAAACAATGTGCATGAAAACGAGCCGTCTCTCATTGAATGACAACAAAGACTTGAAGAATCTACTGTTGACCAATCACCAACGAAGGGGCGTAGTCTTCAGCTACCAACTTCGGCTTGCCTCTACAAAAATGTTGTGTGCCTGAACAGCCCAAAAAAACCTTACCAAAGTCCAAAACTAACAAAAACGTCACAAAATGTCATCATAATATATGCACAAACTCCTCGAAACTCTTTCGGCTGGGAAGCATGCGGACGTCTTAAGACTTCCTCATCAAAGAATGTTATAATTTACAGATTTATTGTTTCAGTTTTGATGAATTCAGCCTGTTTTAGACAACGCTGGGTTCCATCACCTGGGATCTATGAACATCTGACTGCAGAGCCCCAACACCTCCTACTGTACCTCTGACATCACACAGCCGTCCCATCTGGATGTTCTGCAGGATGTCAAAACCCTTCAGGCTGAAACGCTGCAACTGGGAGTAACCTGACAGAGGACACACATAGAACACAGAATACAGGGTTAGAACACAGGGAACCTAACACATAGAACACAGAATACAGGGTTAGAACACATAGAACACAGAATACAGGGTTAGAACACAGGGAACCTAACACATAGAACACAGAATACAGGGTTAGAACACATAGAACACAGAACACAGGGTTAGAACACAGGGAACCTAACACTTAGAACACAGAATACAGGGTTAGAACACAGGGAACCTAACACATAGAACACAGAATACAGGGTTAGAACACACAGAAAACAGAATACAGGGTTAGAACACAGGGAATCTAACACATAGAACACATAATACAGGGTTAAAACACATAGAACACAGAATACAGGGTTAGAACACATAGAACACAGGGTTAGAACACAGGGAACCTAACACATATAACACAGAACACAGGGTTAGAACACATAGAACACAGAATACAGGGTTAGAACACATAGAACACAGAATACAGGGTTAGAACACAGGGAACCTAACACATAGAACACAGAATACAGGGTTAGAACACAGGGAACATAACATATAGAACACAGAACACAGGGTTACAACCTAACCCAGTCTGCTATACAGAGAACACAGGGTTACAACCTAACCCAATCTGCTATACAGAGAACACAGGGTTACAACCTAACCCAGTCTGCTATACAGAGAACACAGGGTTACAACCTAACCCAGTCTGCTATACAGAGAACACAGGGTTACAACCTAACCCAGTCTGCTATACAGAGAACACAGGGTTACAACCTAACCCAATCTGCTATACACAGAACACAGGGTTACAACCTAACCCAATCTGCTATACAGAGAACACAGGGTTACAACCTAACCCAGTCTGCTATACAGAGAACACAGGGTTACAACCTAACCCAGTCTGCTATACAGAGAACACAGGGTTACAACCTAACCCAGTCTGCTATACAGAGAACACAGGGTTACAACCTAACCCAATCTGCTATACACATAACACAGGGTTACAACCTAACCCAGTCTGCTATACAGAGAACACAGGGTTACAACCTAACCCAATCTGCTATACACAGAACACAGGGTTACAACCTAACCCAATCTGCTATACACAGAACACAGGGTTACAACCTAACCCAATCTGCTATACAGAGAACACAGGGTTACAACCTAACCCAGTCTGCTATACAGAGAACACAGGGTTACAACCTAACCCAATCTGCTATACAGAGAACACAGGGTTACAACCTAACCCAATCTGCTATACAGAGAACACAGGGTTATAACCTAACCCAATCTGCTATACAGAGAACACAGGGTTACAACCTAACCCAATCTGCTATACAGAGAACACAGGGTTACAACCTAACCCAGTCTGCTATACAGAGAACACAGGGTTACAACCTAACCCAATCTGCTATACAGAGAACACAGGGTTACAACCTAACCCAGTCTGCTATACAGAGAACACAGGGTTACAACCTAACCCAATCTGCTATAACACAGAACACAGGGTTACAACCTAACCCAGTCTGCTATACAGAGAACACAGGGTTACAACCTAACCCAGTCTGCTCTACACAGAGTCACATAAGACCCTGACCTGGCACACAGAGAACACTGGGTTAGAACCTCAAATAGAACCCAACCACACAGAAACACAGCATAGTGATAATGTGTAGAGGACTTCCCTGTGTGTCTGTCTGGTGGTCTGCCTGGCTGACCTGCCAGTGCTGTGAGAGAGAGACAATCCTCCGATGGATCATGGTAATTAAATTAAATGATTGACTTCCGGCTAATTAACAACAATGGGGTTCAACTAGCTAATTATCTTCTCCTAGCTCAACACAGCAGCAAACACAAAGGCACGCAAACACACACACACATCACTCTACTCCTCTGAGGCCCGGAGTGCACATAAAACATTCCATCTGCTTGTAATTAGCTCTAATAATCATTTGAGACAACTGTTTATTAAGGATTGAGAATGCAAGCCTGATTGCAGTTGAAACTATTGCAGCTCTGTGGGTGTAATATTTATTGACAATTTTGATACCTTCTGGAAACAAAGCTCGTATTATAAGGAGGATGGGATCCACCCAAATCATTTGGGTTCCTGGATCCTTTCACAACATTATAAGGCTGCGTTGAGACAATGACTTATCAAATCCAGCTAATTGAATCCCTACCATTGTGTCGCTGAGTTGTCATAACGCTTCAGCAAATGTACATTATCCTAGGGGCGCTGGAAGACACAATGTAAGTAACCTAATTTATGTCCCTCTTACTGCCCTGAATGCCTCTGCTGATCCTACAGCTATTGTATGCAGTAATCATATGCCTATGAACCAGAATAATACTGTTAGCACTGAGGTGGTGTGCCCTAGTAGGAAGTCCACTGTGTGCATCTCACCCCGCACTAATAAAAATAACTTGAGCATGTCTACCTCTGCTAAGCTTCCCAATAAAGAAAGAAAAACAATTAAGCATCCCAGAAAAGTGTTAAAAATAGCCCACGTTAACATATGTAGCTTAAGAAACAAGGTTCATGAAATCAATAATTTGCTAGTAACAGATGACATTCATATTCTGACAATCTCTGAAACTCCCTTAGATAATACATTTGATGATACAGTGGTAGCAATACATGGTTATAAGATCTACAGAAAAGACAGAAATGCCAAAGGTGGAGGTGTTGCTGTTTATATTCAGAACCTGTAAAGCTTAGAGAGGATCTCATGTTAAATACTGTTGAAGTAATATGGCTACAGGTTCATCTGCCTCACCTAAAGCCCATTCTGGTGGGAAGCTGCTATAGACCACCAAGTGCTAACAGTCAGTATCTGGATAAAATGTGTGAAATGCTTGATAATGTATGTGATATCAATAGAGATATATACTTTTTGGGTGATTTAAATATTTACTGGCTTTCATCAAGCTGCCCACTCAAGAAAAAGCTTCAAACTGTAACTAGTGCCTGCAACCTGGTTCAGGTTATCAATCAACCTACCAGGGTAGTTACAAACAGTACAGGAATTAAATCATCAACATGTATTGATCATATATTTACTAATGCTGCAGAAATTTGTTTGAAAGCAGTATCCAAATCCATTGGATGTAGTGATCACAATATAGTAGCCATATCTAGGAAAACCAAAGTTCCAAAGGATGGGCCTAATATAGTGTATAAGAGGTCATACAAGAAGATTAGTAGTGATTCTTATGTTGTTGATGTGAATAATATTTGTTGGTCCGTAGTGTGTAATGACGAGCAACCAGACGCTGCACTTGACACATTTATGAAATTGCTTATTCCAGTTACTAATTGTCACGCCCTGGCTCTGGGGACACTTGTATGTTGAGCCAGGGTGTGCATTTCATTTGTGTATCTAGTATGTGTATTTCTATGTTGGCCTGAGTGGCTCCCAATCAGAGGCAACGAGTGTCAGCTGTCGTTGGTTGTCTCTGATTGGGAGCCATATTTAAACTGTCTGTTTCCCATTTGTGTTTGTGGGATCTTGTTTCAAGTCTGTTTATGTTAGACCGTGAACTGTCACGTATCGTTTGTTGTTTTTGATCGTGTCTCTAATTAAAGAGTATGTTTGCCTGCAACGCTGCGCCTTGGTCCTCATCTCTGTTTGACGATCGTGACACTAATAAGCATGCACCTATTAAGAAAATGACTGTAAAAACTGTTAAATCCCTGTGGATTGATGAAGATTGAAAAATGGTATGGTTGAGAAGGATGAGGCAAATGGAATGGCAAATAAGTCTGGCTGTACAACCGATTGGCAAACATACTGCAAATTGTGAAATCATGTGACTAAACTGAATAAAAAGAAGAAGAAACTACACTATGAAACTAAGATAAATGACATAAAGAATGATAGTAAAAAGTTTGAGCGCCTTAAATGAAATTTTGGGCAAAAAGGCAAACTCCGCTCCATCAATTATTGAATCATCACAAAACCCACTGATATTGCCAACTACTTTAATAATTGTTTCATTGGCAAGATTAGCAAACTTAGGCATGACATGCCAGCAACAAACGCTGACACTACAAATCCAAGTATATATGACCAAATTATGAAAGACAAGCATTGTAATTTTGAATTCCGTAAAGTAAGTGTGGAAGAGGTACGTTTTTTTTTTTTTTGTCTATCAACAATGACAAGCCACCGGGGTCTGACAACGTGGATGGGAAATGACTGAGGATAATAGCAGATGATATTGCTACTCCTATTTGCCACATCTTCAATTTAAGCCTACTAGAAAGTGTGTGCCCTCAGGCCTGGAGGGAAGCAAAAGTTATTCCCCTACCTAAGAATAGTAAAGCCCCCTTTACTGGCTCAAATAGCCGACCAATCAGCCTGTTACCAACCCTTAGTAAACTATTGGAAAATATTGTGTTTGACCAGATACAATGCTATTTTACAGTAAACAAAATTGACAACAGACTTTCAGCACGCTTATAGGGAAGGACATTCAACAACGCACAGCACTTGTACAAATGACTGATGATTGGCTGAGAGAAATTGATGATAAAAAGATTGTGGGGGCTGTTTTGTTAGACTTCAGTGCGGCTTTTGACATTATCGATCATAGTCTGTTGCTGGAAAAAACAATGTGTTATGGCTTTGGCTTATGGCTTTACATTCCCTGATATATTGTGGATAAAGAGTTACCTGTCAAACAGAACACAGAGGGTGTTCTTTAAATGGAACCCCTTTACTTGTTTAAATCTTTACTAATGACCTGCCACTGGCTCTGAGTAAAGCCAGTGTGTCTATGTATGCGGATGACTCAACACTATACACGTCAGCTACTACAGCGACTGAAATGACAGTAAGCAACACTTAACAAAAAGCTGCAGTTAGTTTCAGAATGGGTGGCAAGGAATAAGTTAGTCCTGAATATTTCAAAAACTAAAAGCATTGTATTTGGGACTAATCATTCACTACACCTTAAACCTCAACTAAATCTTGTAATGAATAATGTAGAAATTGAGCAAGTTGAGGAGACTAAACTGCTTGAAGTAACCCTGGATTGTAAACTGTCATGGTCAAAACATGTTGATGCAACAGTAGCTAGGATGGGGAGAAGTCTGTCCATAATAAATCACTGCTCTGCCTTTTTAACAGCACTATCAACAAGGCAGGTCCTACAGGCCCTAGTTTTGTCGCACCTGGACTACTGTTCAGTCGTGTGGTCAGGTGCCACAAAGAGGGACTTAGGAAAATTGCAATTGGCTCAGAACAGGGCAGCACGGCTGGCCCTTGGATGTACACAGAGAGCTAACATTAATAATATGCATGTCAATCTCTCCTGGCTCAAAGTGGAGGAGAGATTGACTTCATCATAACTTGTATTTGTGAGAGGTATTGACATGTTGAATGCTCCGAGCTGTCTGTTTGAACTACTGGCACACAGGTCGAACAATCATGCATACCCCACAAGACATGCCACCAGAGGTCTCTTCACAGTCCCCAAGTCCAGAACAGACTATGGGAGGCGCACAGTACTACATAGAGCCATGACTACATGGAACTCTATTCCACATCAAGTAAGTCATACCAGCAGTAAAATTAGATTTAAAAAACAGATAAAAATACACCTTATGGAACAGCGGGGACTGTGAAGCAACACAAACATATGATAACATACACACTATACACACATGTACACATGGATTTTGTGTTATAGATATGTGGTAGTAGAGGGCACACACTTCATACAGTTCAAGTCGGAAGTTTACATACACTTAGGTTGGAGTCATTAAAACTTGTTTTTCAACCACTCCACAAATGTCTTGTTAACAAACTATGGTTTTGGCAAGTCGGTTAGGACATCTACTTTGTGCATGACACAAGTAATTTTTCCAACAATTGTTTACAGACATATAATTTCACTTATAATTCACTGTATCACAATTCCAGTGGGTCAGAAGTTTACATACACTAAGTTGACTTTGCCTTTAAACAGCTTGGAAAATTCCAGAAAATGATGTCATGGCTTTAGAAGCTTCTGATAGGCTAATTGACATCATTTGAGTCAATTGGAGGTGTACCTGTGGATGTATTTCAAGGCATACCTTCAAACTCAGTGCCTCTTTGCTTGACATCAAGGGAAAATCAAAAGAAATCAGCCAAGACCTCAGAAAAGAAATTGTAGACCTCCACAAGTCTGGTTTATCCTTGGGAGCAATTTCCAAATGACTGAAGGTACCACGTTCATCTGTACAAACAATAGTACGCAAGTATAAACACCATGGGACCACGCAGCCGTCATACCGCTCAGGAAGGAGACGCGTTCTGTCTCCTAGAGATGAACGTACTTTGGTGCCAAAAGTGCAAATCAATCCCAGAACAACAGCAAAGGACCTTGTGAAGATGCTGGAGGAAACAGGTACGAAAGTATCTATATCCACAGTAAAATGAGTCCTATATCGACATAACCTGAAAGGCCGCTCAGCAGGGAAGAAGCCACTGCTCCAAAACCGCCATAAAAAAGCCAGACTACGGTTTGCAACTGCACATGGGGACAAATATTGTACTTTTTGGAGAAATGTCCTCTGGTCTGATGAAACAAAAATAGAACTGTTTGGCCATAATGACCATTGTTATGTTTGGAGGAAAAAGGGGAACGCTTGCAAGCCGAAGAACACCATCCAAACCGTGAAGCACGGGGGTGGCAGCATCATGCTGTGGGGGTGCTCTGCTGTAGGAGGGACTGGTGCACTTCACAAAATAGATGGCATCATGAGGAAGGAAAATTATGTGGATATATTGAAGCAACATCTCAAGACATCAGTCAGGAAGTTAAAGATTGGTCGCAAATGGGTCTTCCAAATGGACAATGACCCCAAGCATACTTCCAAAGTTGTGGCAAAATGGCTTAAGGACAACAAAGTCAAGGTATTGGAGTGGTCATCACAAAGACCTGACCTCAATCCTATAGAACATTTGTGGGCAGAACTGAAAAAGCGTGTGCGAGCAAGGAGGCCTACAAACCTGACTCAGTTACACCAGCTCTGTCAGGAGGAATGGGCCAAAATTCACCCAACTTATTGTGGGAAGCTTGTGGATGGCTACCCGAAACGTTTGACCCAAGTTAAACAATTTAAAGGCAATGCTACCAAATACTAATTGAGTGTATGTAAACTTCTGACCCACTGGGAATGTGATGAAAGAAATAAAAGTTGAAATAAATAATTCTCTCTACTATTATTCTGACATTTCACATTCTTAAAATAAAGTGGTGATCCTAGCTGACCTAAAACAGGGAATTTTTACTAGGATTAAAATGTCAGGAATTGTGAAAAACTGAGTTTAAATGTGTTTGGCTAAGGTGTATGTAAACTTCCGACTTCAACTGTATGTTGTGAAATCTGTTATGAATGTATTGTAATGTTTTTAAAATGTATAATTGCCTTCATTTAGCTGGACCCCAGGAAGAGTAGCTGCTGCCTTGGCAGGAACTAATGGGGATCCATAATAAACCCCAGGAAGAGTAGCTGCTGCCTTGGCAGGAACTAATGGGGATCCATAATAAACCCCAGGAAGAGTAGCTGCTGCCTTGGCAGGAACTAATGGGGATCCATAATAAACCCCAGGAAGAGTAGCTGCTGCCTTGGCAGGAACTAATGGGGATCCGTAATAAACCCCAGGAAGAGTAGCTGCTGCCTTGGCAGGAACTAATGGGGATCCATAATAAACCCCAGGAAGAGTAGCTGCTGCCTTGGCAGGAACTAATGGGGATCCGTAATAAACCCCAGGAAGAGTAGCTGCTGCCTTGGCAGGAACTAATGGGGATCCATAATAAACCCCAGGAAGAGTAGCTGCTGCCTTGGCAGGAACTAATGGGGATCCATAATCAACCCCAGGAAGAGTAGCTGCTGCCTTGGCAGGAACTAATGGGGATCCATAATACATACAAATACAAACTCAAAGTTGTGTGCTTTACTTTCTAACTGACAAAGGAGGCTATCTAGACGACCCACGATGGATACTGTAGAAACAAGATACAGTATTTCATCCAATAGTTGTAAATTGTCATGAGGGGGCAGAACACATCCTCTGTGTCTAATGGTTAATGGCTATTCATTAGCTTTAACTCCAAATCTTTATGTTCACTTCCCTCCCTCCCTGGCATTCAGACTCTCATGGTCTCCTCATGGTTTTCCTGCAGAGACCACAGACCTATTTCGAGCAGTGCCAGTCTAGCTGGTGGTTAGTGTGAGTGTGTCTGAGTGAGGGAGAGCTACCTACCCAGTGATGGGATGTGTATGATGGTCCTCCTGGAAGACTGGATGTGTTTCCAGTTGGCTGACAGATACTGGAGGAGGAGAAGAACATGGATCAGTGATGGGACTGTCCTGAAGACACACACACTAAACACACAGACACACTTACACACATTCACACACACACACACACACACACACACACACACACACGGTAGCAGTAAATTAACTGGTGGGCACTAGTCCTAATTAATAGACCGGCTGAGTCCATGAAGATGTTAAAACCAAGATGACAGGCTAGCACAGAGACAAGACAGAAGACATCTGAACTGAGATGGATATGATGCACTGACAGAGAAACAGACAGAGACACAGACAGAGACACAGACAGAGACAGACACAGACACAGACACATAGACAGAGACAGACACAGACACAGACAGAGAATCTGAGGGTACATAGTGCTGTTATATCAAAACAGACGTCTAATTTAGATGTCAGACTATCAAGGGTACAGAGGATTCTCTGCTCAGTCAGAAGTGTAATGTGCTGGGTGAGCTCATCTAGGTATGACAGACAGACAGACAGACGGACGGACAGACAGACAGACCTGTCCCCTGATGCGGTAGTTGTCCAGGTGTGTCCTCCTGCTCTCCTGCAGGCTCTTCCTGACGCGGCCCAGTTGAGCGTGCATCAGCCAGGAGATAGCGATGGTCCCTGCCGCCCACTTCCTTTGACGGTGGCGCAGGTAGGCATTGCGGGCCCAGTGGCGCCTCCAGCAGCTCTGGATCCGTGCCGCGGCTGCCTCTGTGCCTCCCTCCCCCCGGTAGCGCTGCCCTGGTCGGTACACCAGGTCCCAAACCTCCTCTCTGTTCTCCAGCACCGAGAGGAGACACTCCACCGAGCTACTGCCTCCTCCTCCTCCTCCTCCTCCTCCTCCTCCTACGGCCCAGTCCAGATCCCCGCCCTGGACAAGGAGACGGACAGTCATCCGTAGTGGGATTGCACCAATGTAACTTCAAAAAAAAATTCTCCAGTACTGAGCAAATTTCAGGTCTGCTGTGAGCAAACTTGAATGTTGTGAAAATTCCGTACAACTTCCGGCACGCGTTTACTGTGAACACTGAGGCTGTACCTGCTTTAAGTTACACGTTTTAAAAGTGGCCAAGTAGGCTACTGTGGCTATTTGATCATAATGTAGGCCTACCAGAGTGGCATACCATAAAGAAAAATGAAAATGCATCCCGTGAAATTTTAACATGGAACTAGCTGATCTAGCTATGGTACTGCCTACAGTAGCAGCCAATGTGTGGTGTTCAATGTAGGCCTACATTCCATGAGGTGTTTTTTTTAAACATTATGCAGGGCTTAATTAACTAGCAAAGAATATGAACACGCGCGGCTACACGCAGCTCTGTGCTTTGATCTCAAAACAAACGCATCTACTCGCCACCACCTGTCAATGCAATAGAATCCTCCTCCGATGCGCTCTGCCTAAAACAAAATCACAGACTTAAGTCTTGCACAGTCAGATGTTTTTCATATTATGTTGATTTCGATCGCAGTTCCCACCGTAGAGGAAAACGTTGTAAAGGGGGAAAACGTTGTAAAGTTGAGTGAAGTTCACCCACCTGTGCCAGCTCTACCAGCCTCTCTCCGTTGACCCTGGCCATGGGGACGGCATAGCGCCTCAGCAGACTCGCCAGCCCCCACAGCACCTCCACCAGCAGGCCCCAGCACAGGCAGTAGTGCTGCTTGAAGCGGCAGAAGTCTGGGGCCACGGGGTTGATGCGGCCCTCTAGGATGGTGAAGGAGAACTTACTGACGGTTGTGGAAGCCAGAGCAGGGAGACACTGGAGAGAGACAAAGCAATACTGGATTAGAGAACAGAGAAGCAAACATCAGAACTACGTATCAAAACACTGGGTGAGTCTGAGATACTAAAGGCTGCAGTTTGATTGAATAACGGTTAGAATGAGGTGGTCCATGGTTGTATTTCCCTACATATGAGACCTTGAAATGGGTACTGACCAATCAAATGCCCTGGTACATCAAAAACATGCTTCAAATAAGTGGTAGCCTTCTCTTCACTCTCATCACAAATAACAATCATGGATACAGAGACTAGTTGAAGGTCATCTCCGAACCATCAACCATGTGCTGACAACCTAATAGTCTGTTACAAGCTGACAACCTAACAGTCTGTTACAAGCTGAAATCAGGTAATCAGCTTTAAAACAGCAAATTGTCATCTCCACCCCATAGCAAATGTGTAGAACTGCAGGAAAACTACTAAAAAAAATGATCTCCACCCCATGGCAAAATGAGCAGAATTGCAGAAAACTTGCTTTAAAACTGCAACATTTTCTCTACGCCCCCTGACAAAATTGCTTAGGGCCCCCAAAAGGCTAGTTTCTTTACTAGCTCTGGTGACAAGTAGAGTTTTGCAACCCTAGTCACAAGAGACGAGGTCCAAGCTGGTTACCTGGGGGTGGAGGGGTGAGACAGGAGGTACTAACCTGGGGGTGGAGGGATGAGACAGGAGGTACTAACCTGGGGGTGGAGGGGTGAGACAGGATGTACTAACCTGGGGGTGGAGGGGTGAGACAGGAGGTACTAACCTGGGGGTGGAGGGGTGAGACAGGAGGTACTAACCTGGGGGTGGAGGGGTGAGACAGGAGGTACTAACCTGGGGGTGGAGGGGTGAGACAGGAGGTACTAACCTGGGGGTGGAGGGGTGAGACAGGAGGTACTAACCTGGGGGTGGAGGGGTGAGACAGGAGGTACTAACCTGGGGGTGGAGGGGTGAGACAGGAGGTACTAACCTTGGGGTGGAGGGGTGAGACAGGAGGTACTAACCTGGGGGTGGAGGGGTGAGACAGGAGGTACTAACCTGGGGGTGGAGGGGTGAGACAGGAGGTACTAACCTGGGGGTGGAGGGGTGAGACAGGAGGTACTAACCTGGGGGTGGAGGGGTGAGACAGGAGGTACTAACCTGGGGGTGGAGGGGTGCAAGCCGTGCGGCTCCCTGGGACATTTGCCTGTGTTCGGAGCTCTTGGAGGTGGCGGAGGTGGGCGGGGTGTGGATGGCGGAGGTGGACAGGCGTTCTCTGCCGTGACTGTGGGAGGGGCCAGGATCCTTGCCCCAGGTCAACTCCTTCTGACCCTGCAATGGCTTCTCTGTCAGGGCTAAGGGGAAAACATTTTCTTTAAATTCTGTTTCAAAAATACATGTTTGTCATGTAGCAGACTCTCTTATCCAGTAGATAGGGGTTATAAAGTAGGTCAAACATACACCTATCATAACCATTACCAATAAAACCTTCAGAACTACACACTACCTGCAAACTCAGAGCTAGTAAAGACACTCAGAGCTAGTAGACACTCAGAGCTAGTAAAGACACTCAGAGCTAGTAGACACTCAGAGCTAGTAGACACTCAGAGCTAGTAAAGACACTCAGAGCTAGTAGACACTCAGAGCTAGTAGACACTCAGAGCTAGTAAAGACACTCAGAGCTGGTAAAGACACTCAGAGCTAGTAGACAATCAGAGCTAGTAGACACTCAGAGCTAGTAGACACTCAGAGCTAGTAAAGACACTCAGAGCTAGTAGACACTCAGAGCTAGTAAAGACACTCAGAGCTAGTAAAGACACTCAGAGCTAGTAAAGACACTCAGAGCTAGTAAAGACACTCAGAGCTAGTAAAGACACTCAGAGCTAGTAGACACTCAGAGCTAGTAGACACTCAGAGCTAGTAAAGACACTCAGAGCTAGTAGACACTCAGAGCTAGTAGACACTCAGAGCAAGTAGACACTCAGAGCTAGTAAAGACACTCAGAGCTAGTAGACACTCAGAGCTGGTAAAGACACTCAGAGCTAGTAGACACTCAGAGCTAGTAAAGACACTCAGAGCTAGTAGACACTCAGAGCTAGTAGACACTCAGAGCTAGTAAAGACACTCAGAGCTAGTAAAGACACTCAGAGCTAGTAAAGACAGAGCTAGTAAAGACACTCAGAGCTAGTAAAGACACTCAGAGCTAGTAAAGACACTCAGAGCTAGTAGACACTCAGAGCTAGTAGACACTCAGAGCTAGTAAAGACACTCAGAGCTAGTAGACACTCAGAGCTAGTAGACACTCAGAGCTAGTAAAGACACTCAGAGCTAGTAAAGACACTCAGAGCTAGTAAAGACAGAGCTAGTAAAGACACTCAGAGCTAGTAAAGACACTCAGAGCTAGTAGACACTCAGAGCTAGTAAAGACACTCAGAGCTAGTAGACACTCAGAGCTAGTAGACACTCAGCGCTGGTAAAGACGGTACAACAGTACAACAGTTAAGTGTTAGTACATCAATTTGTGTAACTAGGTAGATACAGCCATCACTGTCAAACCTGACTGGACCCTGTCTCACTCTCTTGGCAGACAGACAGACAGACATGCAGCCTCTTTAAATATACAGTAGATGGGGGAATTACACAGAAAGAGACATCAATAAGGAACCAAAGAGATCAAGGGGAATAAATCCCATTTACAGATTGGATCGGGTTTCCAGAAACGTAGTAGGGGTGTAGGAGAAGGACCTGTTGTGGTCTGTGTTGTAGCAATCACATCTCAACACAATGCTCTGAGTGCCACCGTGGCAGGGCTAGTGGGGCAGAGGTCCCATGCCAAGCTGATCTCACAGCAGTGATCCGTTGCAAGGAGAGAGCTCTTTCTCCATGCCAAGCTGATCTCACAGCAGTGATCCGTTGCAAGGAGAGAGCTCTTTCTCCATGCCAAGCTGATCTCACAGCAGTGATCCGTTGCAAGGAGAGAGCTCTTTCTCCATGCCTGGCCAAGCATTAGCAGGCAGCAGTGATCCGTTGCAAGGAGAGAGCTCTTTCTCCATGCCTGGCCAAGCATTAGCAGGCAGCAGTGATCCGTTGCAAGGAGAGAGCTCTTTCTACATGCCTGGCCAAGCATTAGCAGGCAGCAGTGATCCGTTGCAAGGAGAGAGCTCTTTCTCCATGCCTGGCCAAGCATTAGCAGGCAGCAGTGATCCGTTGCAAGGAGAGAGCTCTTTCTCCATGCCTGGCCAAGCATTAGCAGGCAGCAGTGATCCGTTGCAAGGAGAGATCTCTTTCTCCATGCCAAGCTGATCTCACATCAGTGATCTGTTGCAAGGAGAGAGCTCTTTCTCCATGCCTAGCCAAGCATTAAGGCCGTGATTCCGTTGCAAGGAGGAGCTCTTTCTCCATGGCCAAGCATTAGCAGGCAGCATGATCTGTTGCAAGGAGAGAGCTCTTTCTTCCATGGCCTAGCCAAGCATTAGCAGGCAGCAGTGATCTGTTGCAAGGAGAGAGCTCTTTCTCCATGCCTGGCCAAGCATTAGCAGGCAGCAGTGTATCTGTTGCAAGGAGAGAGCTCTTTCTCCATGCCTGGCCAAGCATTAGCAGGCAGCAGTGATCTGTTGCAAGGAGAGAGCTCTTTCTCCATGCCTGGCCAAGCATTAGCAGGCAGCAGTGATCTGTTGCAAGGAGAGAGCTCTTTCTCCATGCCTAGTCAAGCATTAGCAGGCAGCAGTGATCCGTTGCAAGGAGAGAGCTCTTTCTCCATGCCTAGCCAAGCATTAGCAGGCAGCAGTGATCCGTTGCAAGGAGAGAGCTCTTTCTCCATGCCTAGCCAAGCATTAGCAGGCAGCAGTGATCTGTTGCAAGGAGGGGGCTCTTTCTCCATGCCTAGCCAAGCATTAGCAGGCAGCAGTGATCTGTTGCAAGGAGAGAGCTCTTTCTCCATGCCTGGCCAAGCATTAGCAGGCAGCAGTGTTCACAGTGATTGAGATCATCTCTGTCCGAGTCTATGTGAGAATAGTCTCGTTCTGCACTATCCTGTATGATATTATGTATTATCGGAACAAACAATGACAGTTCATTGAGCATGAAGCCATGATCATACAAAAAACGATGACATATTAAATGTGACTGAGATCCGGGTGGTCCTGTATTCATAAAGCGTTTCAGAGTGGGAGGGTTGATCTAGGATCAGGTCCCCCTGGTCCATTCATTATCATTTTAAAAGGAAAGACTCCTACTCTGAGACACTTCATGAATATGGGCCCAATGTGTCTAGAATAATCAAGTATAGAACAAACAGTAAATGTAATCTCTGTCTGAGCCTTTTAGTCTATATGAGAACAGTCTCTCTGTACTGTCTGATCATAACTGTGTTAGGTGAAGGCTTCAGAACACAACAATGACAGTTCACAGAGCATCAATCAACGATCACAAAACCTATGACTACATTATGTGACTAAATTTACAATTTAGTCACAGTCATTCAGCAGACGCTTTTATCCAGAGTCATTTACAATCTGACTAAAATCAGGTGCTGCCTGCCATGTACTGTTCCAGACCAGTATGAATGGCTTGGCTATTGGCTGCTGTTGAGCCCACAGAGCTGTATGAATGGCCTAGCTATTGGCTGCTGTTGAGCCCACAGAGCTGTATGAATGGCCTAGCTATTGTCTGCTGTTGAGCCCACAGAGCTGTATGAATGGCCTAGCTATTGGCTGCTGTTGAGCCCACAGAGCTGTATGAATGGCCTAGCTATTGGCTGCTGTTGAGCCCACAGAGCTGTATGAATGGCCTAGCTATTGGCTGCTGTTGAGCCCACAGAGCTGTATGAATGGCCTAGCTATTGGCTGCTGTTGAGCCCACAGAGCTCAACAGATAGATATTACTATCTAAAGGGCAAAACTGATCCTAGATCAACACTCCTACTCTACTCCGGGTCTCTGATGGTCCCGCCCTGACTCAGTTGGTAGAGCATGGCGCTTGCAACGCCAGGGTTGTGGGTTTCGATTCCCACAGGAGGGACCAGTAAGGAGAAAATAAAGTATGAAATGTATGCAGTCACTACCAATAGTAATGAACAACAGAACTGACCCAACTTGGAGGAGCAGCTGTCTTCTCTGGGGTGTAGTGGAGCAGCCTTGGGCTGGACAGTAGTCCTGAACACATCTGCAGCTGCGGGGGTTAAACCCTTGGCCAGTAGACTGGCAATGCCTGCAACAACACAGTCAATATTACATTTACATTTAAGTCATTTAGCAGACGCTCTCTCATCCAGAGCCACTTACAAATTGGTGCATTCACCTTATGACAGCCAGTGGGACAACCACTTTACAATGTTATTTATTTTATATTATATTATTTATTTTATATATTTTGTGGGGGGGGGGGGTAGAAGGATTACTTTATACTATTATACTATTCCAGGTATTCCTTAAAGAGGTAGGGTTTCAAGTGTCTCCGGAAGGTGGTCAGTGACTCCGCTGTCCTGGCGTCGTGAGGGAGATTGTTCCACCATTGGGGTGCCATATGATAGATATTAGTTAGCTATGCTATGACACCATGCTAGTTAGCTATGGTGTCATAGTTAGCTAGCTGAATAAAGTAAGTTGAGTCCATTCCTTGAAACATTGAACCGCTGTAGTTTACAACAATTCTAATTTCTAAAGTGGAAGTTGGGAGAGTTTTATTCGGGTGGTTCAGTGAAACAATTATAGTTTCTGAGGTGGAAGTTGGGAGAGTTATATATTTTTTTGGTGAGGGAGGCCCTGCTCTCTCCTTTCCCAGATGTTTAGTTCATTTCATTCCGATCTCCTCTGCATTATTGTAGCCATCTGCTACAGCCTGTCAACTATGCCTCTGCCTATCCCTGTTCTCTCCTCTCCGCACAGGCTACACAAACGCCTCACACCGCGTGGCTGCTGCCTCTCTAACCTGGTGGTCCCTGCACGCACCACACACCTGGAGTTCCAGGTCTCAGGCAGCCTCTGGAACTGCCGTTCTGCTGCCAACAAGGCTGACTTCATCCCAGCCTATGCTACCCTCCAGTCCCTCGACTTCCTGGCGCTGACGGAAACATGGATTACCACTGAAAACACTGCTACTCCTACTGCTCTCTCCTCGTCTGACCATGTGTTCTCGCATACCCCGAGAGCATCTGGTCAGAGGGGTGGTGGCACAGGAATCCTCATCTCTCCCAAGTGGTCATTCTCAATTTTTCCCCTAACCCATCTGTCTATCTCCTCATTTGAATTCCACGCTGTCACAGTCACTAGCCCATTTAAGCTTAATATCCTTGTCATATATCGCCCTCCAGGTTCCCTTGGAGAGTTCATCAATGAGCTTGACGCCTTGATAAG